GCAAGGAATGCATCTGTATGCAGTATCTACTACAGACTGTCACCATTAATTCAACACAATAACAATTGTTTTCACAGCATTTACACTTTCAATGAATTTCCTAGAAAAGATTTAAAGCATGTGGGTGAATGAGCAGAGGCTACATGCAAATAACCATACCCTTTTATATAAGATTTACAAATCAGCAGATTTTGTATGAGGAGAGGGGAGAGGGTTACAAAATAGTCACCAGAGATGAAGGACTTTTGCACGTCAAAGCAATTAGTTTGCAAATAAATAATTCTGTATTAAACACAGTAAATACTTGTAGAAAGCAATCATTCTCAAAAGGGAACACAGGTTCCAAATGAGGTGACAATAGCTCAGTAATGTTCTTCCATGCTCTGACTGTGGATGTAACATATTGTTTTCTAAAGGATGCTCTTCCAAATGAACCCTAGCGACATGCTTAATCCGTTTGCTACCTGAGAATACACATGCAGGCTCACAGACAGTTCTTACTGAAGGCTTAGCTGTGAACAATACTTACAGAATTCATCATAGCAAGCTGTGAGGGGTAAGCTTTACAAGGAAAGTTAATCTTCACCCCACCAATGGTATATTCAGACCACACTGAAGACATGGTGCTCTCTTGTTTACTTCAGATTGCTAACTGCAACAAAAATGAAAATCAATATTGAAACCACCCCAAGAAAATCAGGAATCTAACACTAAGAAATCTTGAAATCAACTGGAATCAGTAAGGGTACAAAGGTACTTCAAAAAGCTTGTGAAAAGCTTATTCTGGGTTCATTTTTTAAATCCATGCAGGTTTTTTTTTCATAATATGCATTCTCTACTAACCTTTTGAAGTACCCACACTAAAACAAATGGAACTAAAAGAATGTCCTCATCTTATAAATCCTAATGGTTGAGTGTGTCTTGCTTGATAAATCCAGATTTGCATCCTTATTTAGCCACCAACTATTGGTGAGACTCCTAGCAAGTTATCCAAGTTCCCTAGGCCTCAGAGCCATCATAGAAAACAATAAAAATATCCACAGCACAAAACTGTTGTCAAGGTGTAATAAATTAACAGCCCAAAATGACCCAGTACCTGGCCTGATGAAGCAAGGGCATTCGCAATTATTTAAACCACCTGTAATCAACCGATGGGAATAAATTCTTCAGGCAACCCTCCCTCCCACTCCATAGCCCCATTCTTCCTCCTATCTTCCTCTTTCTGCTTCTCTCTCCATGTGTAATTCTCTAGCAGATATAAGGAAAACCTGTACGGGTAACAGGCAACCAGGGATTGCTCTGACAAGCCTTCTTCCCGGGTCTAAAATCTTGACCTGTAATAATTCCTAAGTCAAAGACTGCTGTTAACGGAGAAAAAGACTGGACACAAAAGGAGGCTAGCAATCATTCCCATTTAAATCTCACTAGCAGGTGTCTTCACAGAGGGGGGGCAGTGGGGCTGGAAGAGTTTGTACGAAAATGAGCCAAGACAGGATGCTCCTCAGCTGCGTCTGAGCTGTAGCAGGGGGATCCCCACCTCAACAACACACACTGCAACTGTGGCACCACTGCGTTCCTGGGAAGAAACAAGTCCACAGACTTCTCTCCCCTTAAGTATCACCTAAGGAAATCAAAATAAAAGCTGAGGGAAACAGTATCTCCTTGCTACCACCTGGCAAAGCGGGACGCTGGCCCGACCCGCGCGACCCAGCCGGCGCCGCCCGGGCCCGCCCACGGCCAGCGCGTGGAGGCCACCGGCCGCCCGTGCCCCAGGTCTGTGCGGGCTCCCTTCCGCACACTGCTCCTCCTCCCTCAGCCGGCGGAGGAGCCCGGGCGCCCGAACCCCCCGACCCGTCGGAAAACAGCTCAGGCAGACGGCGCGGGGCAGGCGAGGTTCGCTCCCCCTCAGACTTGCCTGTCCGGGCAAAGCCGAAGCAAGCTGACTCGGTTCCGAATCACCAGAGAAAAAGAAAACCGATTTCTGACAGCAAAGACAGCGGGCGCTTGGCAGAGGAAGGGGTCCAAGCCCAGCGGCCGCTCAGCGTTCCTGTAGGGGCCGCGGCGCGCGGGGTAGGTCTCCCTGTTCTTTCTAGAAAGCTCAGCTCCCTCCTCAGCACAGCTCCGGATGAATTCCCGCCTCCCACCCCCTGGGCCCCCTGCGCCCAATCGCCGAGCGAGGTCAGGCAGCCAATCACCCGCCAAGGACAAGAATCAGGCAGCCAATCCCGGCACGAAGCTAGAGGGACGAGCACTCCGGCACCCAATGGAAGCCTCGGAAACATAAGACGGACGGAAGGTACCTGGCGGCACCGGAAAGTCATCAGCAGTTTCCAGAGATTTGTTTAGAAGAAAAAATATCTCTGCCCCATTTCTTAAATCGAAAATCTAATCCACGAGGCATATTCCTAGAAGCTCGAATGCTCATTCCTAAAACATCCTTATACCCACGGAGAGGAAGTGTCATTAACTTGCCACGCTTTTCTCTCAGCTTTGGTCAGTGCCTTCGGTTAATCTGCTCAGCATGCAAAAAACAGGCGGGAATTGGCCAGGTTACAAAACCGGACCAGAAGATACTGTGATCACTAGCTAATAAAAATGCCAGGCATATGCAGCTGCAGATAGCATCTACTTCATTCAAGCTTGCTTGCTTTCTATCTTTCCTAAAGTAGTTAACAAAAACCAAAGGGGAAAAAAAGTTAAGGGCCATTGCGTTTCTTCAAAGACCCAGCTTTTTAAAAAAAAAAAAATTTTTTTTTACTTTGTTGGTCTAAATCCAGACACTAGTGTCTCTACCTCCACCCACAGGTGAAACTCAGGTAACCACATCCAAGAAGAAGGTTTGCTGGGAGGAGGGAAGAGGGGGACTTCTTAATTTGTCTTTCAGTTTCACATCTTCCCAAAAATGATAGTTGTCATAAAAATAAACTCCACCCCTTGGCCTGGTAAGCTCAGTCCTATTTATCCTAAAGATAAAATCTAAAAATCAAAAAGTGATAACACCACAGTTGCTAAGTGCCTCTTTGCAAGACAGAAACGAGAGACCTGCAACGTGGGAAGGGACAGTGGGCTAAAAGACCAGCATTCTAGATGAGTGCTGGTCCCAGTCTCCCAGTGCTGCTACAGTTCCCATCCAGCTCCTTGCTCATGCACCTTGTTAAAGCAGAAGATGACCCAAGTATCTGGTTCCCTGCATCGACTTCCCTCATCCTCCCCCTAACCCTGCCTTTCAAATACATAAGTATATGTTTGTAAAAATGATTAGGTCTTATTTAATAAGAAATATTAGTCACTCAAAGGGAAGTGCTTATATTATCATAGATTATGAAGCCCAAAATAAACAACTTGTAAAACAAAAGATTAAGTGAAAAAAGTTAACGTTGAGTGAAAAAAAAGGCTCCAATTTGAGTGTTAGGAATACATGGATAGGTAGAGATGAAGGAGACATTAAGACAGCAGGATGAAGGATATTTACTAAAAAAAAATCCTTTAAAACGTTTTAATGTTGTCTTTCTTTTATAAATTTTTAAGCCATCAAAACTTTTAAATAACCCCTCTAGAGTAACTGTCCTAACTTCTAAGACTTTCAGTCAGCCTTTGTTGTATACAATGACTGGGGTAACACAAGGGGATACACTGAGACCTAAAGTCAGATGTGCCTGAATTCTGGTTCCTTCAACTGTTCCTTTCAGGTCAACAGTCGTGGAATGAAACACACACACACATACACACACACACACACACAAACTACAAGTTAATTTAATAAAGAATATGAAAGTTTATAAATCAATATGCAAAATAGCTGCACACATCTGTTTTTACTTGAATAAAAAATCACATTGTGACAATTTATAACTTTAACTTAAAATACATGAATATTAACATTTACTAATGTATTTACACATTTTATTTACATCATCAACAAATCTGATGAAAAATCGCATGTTGTTATTTTCACACAGCAGGTCTTGACCAGTCTTTAAAAAATTGGTCCTTGAGAAATTGTACTGCATTTAGTTAGAAAACATACTTCAGCCTTTCCAGAACTGCTGGGGTAAACCTATTCACATGAAGTATCTCAAGGCCTCATTTTAAAAACAAAACAGGAGCGATTGTATTTACTATTAAGGGACTACAAAACAGCCTTGTTCAAAAATACGGAAATTCTTGTGGGATTTATTAGTATATATTTTCATTTTCACATCAAAATTACTTAATTGAATGCTAATTATCGAATAAAAAGTTATAAATACCTCTGTCACATCTGATACTATGCACTTTAATGATTTGAAACAGCTACAAACTAATTCTTAGAGAATACCCTTAGAGATAGGGCCAGTAATTAATCCCATGTTACAAAAGAAGAAAATGAGATGTGATGATTTGCAAATGAAGTGGCTGCAGTTAAAATTTTTTCCCTTATAAAACACTTTGTTATCAACCTTCCTGACTTTGAAAGTGAAGAGGTCTATTCTGAGTTCAGTGGGGAAGGGGGAGTGTGTGATCAAGGTATATCTCAGAGCAAAGAGAAATACCTTCTGCATTGGATATTTAATTTTTAAAAAAGTGAAGATTATGGGTTACCTGAATGCATCTACCTAATCAACAGAAGTTACTAACAGAGGACTACAAAATCCTTCAGTGAAACAGTATTTTCCACATTTTAGTTTTTCCTGAGGTTCCAACATTGTATATATATTTTCTCAAAAATCTACTCAAAGTAAATGGAAATTATAATCCTGCTGACAAGCCTAAAGCTCTTCAATCCAATGAGTCTTATTGCTTTAAATTTCATTTAATTTGCTATATATTCCTGCCCTCGGAGCATTAGATAAGTTAATAAAGCATTACAAAAATAAATTAAAACTAAATGAGACCTCCCTTCAGGCTCTTCTTTGCACAGATGTTTCTGTAAACACTTTTAAGTCAGTTTCTTACAGTCCCAAATTATTCAAGTATCTCTTTAAACGTATGGCTTCATATATTAGTAAGAACTGAAGTAAATATGTAAAATCTTTAAATCCTCATCTGTTATTCTATGAAGTCATTTATAAAAACTATTTGCCTTTTGGAAAGCCTTCTCCAGACTGTTTCTTAGCCTAATATCCCATTACTGTTACTGTTAACTTGTGCTGCAAGTCTACAATTTCAACTTGAGTACTTCACTTTGAATTTTTCTGAATTCTCTCCTCCCTTGATCCCTTTTCGTCTCTCCCATCTTTCCATCTCCAACATCCTGTGTTAACAAGCTCATGTAAAAGTTAAAGCAGACACTAGGATTACCCATACACTCATTTTCATAAGACATTAAAGGCATGGCAGTCTTTCTTCATTTCAAAAGCTAAATACAAGGCCAAATTTCATTTCTGGTAAAGAGTTTCTGTGCTCCCAACGGAGGAAAAAAAACCCAGCTGCAATGATATAAACATACCAGCCAAGGAGATTCAAAGACATGCCAATCAAATTACAAGCAAGCATAATTCTCTAAATTGTATGCATGTGGAATTGAATCGTTTTAGCAATTCCAACACATTACTGTTTCCATTCACTTTAAAGTTGTATAAAACACAGATTCATAATGGGTGTATGCAGCAAACAGCTATGCTTTCTGCTTCTTTTAATTTTTTCTAAATCCCACTAACACTCATGTTTATAATTTCAATTATTGTGCTTTCAATACAGTGACAGAGCTGTACGTCAGGATCCATACTTCCAGTGTCCCTGGATCCATTTTTATAAGATGGATCTTTACAGATTTGAGACCATCCACCTGGCTTCTCTTTTATTTGCTGAAGACCTAAAAACATTAACAAAAACAAATTAATGCATGAAAACCATAAGGGAACTTGTTTTTTTAGTTTGAGATATTAAAATAATTCAGCAAGGAGTTAGCTCTCACGTGTAATAATTGGATCGATGTCTCTTGTCTGAGTGGCGACATCAGAGGCACAGACTTGCCCTATTTGGATGAGCAAAGACATTATATCCTCATACAGCGGAGGAAACGCTCGACAAAAAGAGACCAAACTTGGCAGAGTTGGCATGAAAAAAGCATACCGCTTAGCCTGTGTTAGCACTGTTGGAAAGAAACAAAAGATTTTTACTTTATAGATATCACTTCAACACAGACAGCCTAAGATACTAAGTACCATGCTAGAAATACTGTTTTCTAAGACTCAACCTTTGCCTTCAGAAAGCTTTCAATCTAGTACTCAGTCATCACCCTAGAAATAAATTCCTTTATGTCCAGTTCCCTGCTGATACACCTGAGAAAGCTACAGAACACAGTCCAAGCACAGCCCCTGCCGAGGCAGGAAACTTAGATGAAGCACCTGGCTCCTAGGCTTTGGAGCTCCTGGCCCAGTCCCAGACACTGCAACCATTTAGGGAGTGAATCAATGGGTGGAAAAAATTTCTTTTTCTGCCTTTGCCTCTCTCTTATTGTAACTCTGTCTTTCAAATCATCTTTAAAACGAAAATTGTTTAAGATCACACACACCTGCTTAGTGGAGGTCGGATTACATACAGCCAGTATGCTCTTAACCACCATAGATTATTACGAGGCATATACAAAGGAAATAAAAATCAACAGAGTATGATGAGAACACTGAGAAGAAGTGTAAGTTACATCATAATTTTAAATGACTGAATTACACTTCACATAGTTTAAAGTAGTTTAATACCATTTTACTGTATAAACCAGAAGGTAATTAAAATCAGGATACGTTTTAGAAATTTAGGAAACAACTTATCTCTTATTTATATACAATTATATTTTCGAGAACTCTGAACATTTGATATAAATCACAACTTGTTGTCTACCAACAAGCTGAGAAAGTCTATATATGTTACTAACATGAAAAGACAATGTGCATATCTATTCACTTCTTCTGTATTACAATTCACATATTTAAATATGAATATTATCAAATGATGAATTATTCAAAAGATGTCATAGATTATGGGGTTGGTGTTGTGACACAGCAGGTTAAGCATCACCAATGATTTCTGCATGCCATGTGGGCACCAGAACAACTCCCAGCTGCTCCACTTCTGATCAAGCTATCTGCTAGCAAGCCTGGGAGAGCAGAGGAAGATGGTCCAAACACTTGGACCTCTGCCAGATTAGTCTCAAGGCTCCTGGCTTCAGTCTAGTGAGGTCCCAGGAGATAAAATCATTTGAGGGATGAACAGGCAGGTTGAAAACTTCTCTCTCCCTGTGTCTCTGCCATTCCACCTTTCAAAACAAACAAACAAAAAACTTTAAAAAAATGTCAAAAATTAAACTGGTAGGGTCACATATTGTGTTGTATGGTCCCATCGTGACAGAAAAAAAAATAACATGCTAGTAAATTCAGAAAATACATGTATGAATTTAGGAGGACCAGTGGCACAGCAAGCTCAGCTGCTGCCTATAAAATCAGCAGCCCTGGTTCAAGTCCTGACTGCTCCACTTCCTTTCCAACTCCCTGTTAATATTCCTGAGAAAGCAGCAGAGGATGGCCCAAGTACTAGAGCCCCAGACTACTGGCTTACACCTGGATAAGATACAATCATCATGAATCAGCAGTAAAAACTTCATCTGCCTCTCACTGTCAGTGTCCTCTTCAAACACATAAATTTTTAAGCACAAATGAAAAACAAGCAAACAGAAAATATATTAAAAAATATGTGAATGTGTTAGAAATATTTACTATTGATATTGATTGGTTACAAACCTGTTAGCAAAGTTCCCATGACATTGACAGCTAAGCGAGCCACACTAAGTGACTTTGGTAATGCATACTGTATACATAAATGAGAAAGTAACTGGATGGCAAATATCTGTAATAAAAAAAATACAAGTATCAAAATTTCAATATCTTTAACACAAACGAAAAAACATCTTACATAATTAGCAAGACTGGAAGCAGACCAAAATTTTATAAAAGCTCCGAAATGCTCATTACCTGTTTTTCAAGTTCTGGCTGTGCAATAAGCTCCGGAATAAAATCCAGACAGATATGCATAGATGGGATGCCTGCAACTGTCAGAGGCAAAAGTTCACATGGATAACCCTATCTCAACAGGAAAAAACAGAAACAAAAGGTAAGTTAATTACACATAAAATACAAATAGATTTCATTTCTTTACTGTCACCCAGAATGCAAAATACCCTAATAGAGATGAATTATTTGAATACTAAGTTGAAAAAAGTAGTTGTAAATCTGGATTTTCTGCATATTTCAAAGGTTCATAATCATTATGTTATCTTTAGTCTCTAAACTATCTATTAATTTGGTATCCAAAGCCAAATTTCTGTATTAAAGAAAAATAAGTCAACCATCAAGCATCACCCTTTGAAAACAGACCTGAAAGTGAACAAGCTTAGCAATGTTAGGATCTGCAATGTACATTTGGTGCAACAGACAACAGATAAGGCACTGAACTTCTCGAAGGTTACAGAGCAAATTGTCTTCTCCTTCTTCAGTTCCTTTACTTGGAGTGCTGGTGGTAATAACACTTTGAACATTCCTTAGCAAGCTGTCTGGATTCACACCCTTTGCTTTCTCCTCTTCAGTAGGTAAACAAATCTCTAAGAGAATCTGAACAGCCGCACTATCCTACAAGGAAACACAACATAATGAACATATAAGATTTCTGAGAAGTTGGTTTGAAAGCCAAACCTGATTTTCTTGTAATCAGAACAGAGAACCTAAAGCACCTACCTGCTGAATCAAACACTAGAGAGGTATTTCTAAGAGCAGAGTGAGCAGTTTATACAGCAACAGTTTCCACCTTTGGCAGTCACAAACTCCTTAAGAAACTGAAGAAAATTAATTCTATTCTCATAAAAATCAATATATATATAAAAAGGCCAGTACTACAGAGCAGCAAATAAACCTGCAGTCTGCAACACTTGCACCCTGTGTGGGCCCTCCTTGGAGTTCCCACTGCTCTACTTTCTTTAAAACTGTATTCATTTTTATTGGAAATACAGATATACAGAAAGAAGGAGATACGCAGAGAAAGATCTTTCATCCACTGGTTCACTCCCCAAGTGACCACAACAGCTGGAACTGAGCCATACGAATCCAGGAGCTTCTTCCAGGTCCTCCACACAGATGCAGGGTCCCAAGGCCTTGGGCCATCTTATACTGCTTTTCCAGGCCACCTGCAGGGAGCTGAATGGGAAGTGGAGCATCCAGGACATGAATTATCACCTTTATGGGATCACTGCGCATGCAAGGAGGGGACTTTGGCCACTAAGCTACTATGCCAGGACCAGCTGCTCCATTTTCAATCCAGCTCCCTGTGAATCCATTTAGGAAAACAGTGCAAGATGGTTCAAAAGCTTGGGCTCTTGAACCCCCAAGGGAAACCTGGAACAACTCTTGGCTCCCGGCTTTACTCTGAAACATCCTGAGTTGTTGTGCTGCCTGGGCCGTGAACCAGCAAGGGAAGAGCTTGCTTTCCCTTTCTCCCTCTCCTTCTCTTTCTGTAATTCTGCCTTTCAAATAAAGAATTTTTTTTTTAATTATACCATAACCTCGCATTCTACATGCATAACTCAGTGTTGTTACAGCCTTGAGTTTCACTTCAGGGAACAATAGCTTGAAGGGGTGATCTACTTGAGGTCCATATATTCAAAGAACTATAATCACTCTCATTTAGTAGGAAGATTTCTAAAACAACATAAGACATGCATCTCGTAAAGACAACTATCACCAGGGGCAGAAGGAAACCATTATTTGATCTGAACATTTAAGCACTTTATTTACTATCAAGGCTCAAGGAAAATTAGCCTTCCTTTACCATCCGCTGGCTTGGATTTGGGAGGGGCCAGTGTTAGATATTGTTAACTGTTTTGGTTTTTGTTGACAGGCTCTGGAGTCAGAGTGCCTAAATAAATATATAACCTCACACCAATTATTTAATCTCTCTAGGTCACATTTTTCTTACATATAAAAATGAAGATGATAACACTCTAAATCCTGTAAGTTGGTTGTCAAAATTAAACAAGTTTTATCATGTCACAAACCTACATTATTTAAACATGACTACTTCAGCCTGGCACAGTGCCTAGTGGTTAAAGTCCTCGCCTTGCGTGTGTCAGGATCCTGTATGGCCACCGGTTCTAATCCCTGCAACCCTACTTCCCACCCAGCTCCCTGCATGTGGCCTGGGAAAATAGTCGAGGACAGTCCAAAGTCTTGGGACCCTACATCCACGTGGCAGACCTGAAAGAAGACCTGGAGGAATCTCCTGGCTTCGGATTGGCTCAGCTCCAGCTGTTGTGGCCATTTGGGAAGTAAATCAGTGAATGTTAAATCTTTCTGTCAGTCTCTCCTCCTCTCTGAATATTTCACTAATAAAAATAAGTAAAATCTTTAAAAAAAATTTTTTTTAAATCTTGCCTTGAAAAAAAACTACATAAGACCTCAATGAAACTACATTATTATAAAACTATTCTACAGTTCTATTGCTCTTATTATTATCATGTTAATTATATTGCCTGGGATTCTGTTATGTAAGTGAATCTTCTCCTATTGATATCTGTCTTCACTATTTGATTTTTCTTCCTACTATTTGATTGCAAGAAACATCTGAAACAGGCATTTGCCTTGGTGGGTTAAGGAGACTTGAGGTACCAGTGTCACATCAGGGTACCTGATTCAACTGATCTGCTCTCAGGTTACTTTCCTGCCAATGGATCCTGCAAAGCAGCAAACAGTAGTTCAAGTACGTGGGTATCTGCCACGTGGGAGAATCAGATGGAGTTCTGGGCTCCTGCCTCACCTTGGCCCAGTCCTGGCTATTGCCGGCATTTAGGGAATAAACTAGGAGATAGAAGATCACTCCTTCTGTCTTTCAAATACGATGAAAAGCAAGAGAGGAAGGAAGATGGGGAAGGCCAAGGGTTTTTATTTTTGTTACCACTATATGGACAGGCCCTAGAATAGTACTTAGCACACAGTAAATATTCAGTAACAATTTTTACATGAATGAGTAAACATACAACTACTACCTCAGAACAGTTACCACAACAGTCATATCTTTTGTTAAAATATAAGCCTCATGTAAATGGCTACTAAATTATTAGTATAGAGATTACTCCTGATATCAGTAATATAGCCCATGTGACAGTCAAAAGCAAAGGTAACAGGACTATTTTGTAAGATTCTATAAGAAAAGAAGGTGTATACCAGGTCACAAATGTACATGGAGGGGTAATATGCCATCTACATCATGATTTTTTTTTAAGATTTTTTGTTGTTGTTGTTGCAAAGTCAGATTTACAAAGAGGAGGAGAGACAGGGAGGAATATCTTTCATCTGATAAATCACTCCCCAAGTGGCCGGTGCTGCGCCAATCCAAAGCCAGGAGCCAGGAACTTCCTCCAGGTTTCTCATGTGGGTGGAAAGGTCCCAAAGCTTTAGGCAATCCTGGACTGCTTTCCCAGGCCACAAGCAGGGAGCTGGATGGAAAGTGGGGCTGTCAGGATTAGAACCGGAGCCCATATGGGATCCTGGGGTGTTCAAGGTGAGGACTTCAGCTGTTAGGCCACCAAGCTGAGCCCTACATTATGGTTTTCATTAGCAGGGAACCCCCTTATCCTTTTTGATAGAATTTACTTGGGTTCCTGCACTCACATGGGAAATCTGCCTCGGCCTCAGGGACCCACTTCGGGCATTTGAGGAATCAAATAATGGATGGTGGGGGGGGGGAGAGGGTGCTCTTTGCTGCTTTTCTCTCTTTCTCTATCTCTATCTGATTGCCAAACAAATTAAAAGAAGAAAAAGGGAGGAATACTTTTTTACTGCTAATAAATTTTTCTTCAATAAAATTTACCTGAGCAGCCAGTAATGCATTTTTCAGTTCTTCTCTCGTAACTTCTGGGGCATCAGCTTGTCCAACTAAGCCTATTGTGTTATTCTGGGATGGCCTGTCTTGCTCTGCTGTTTCCTTCAGATGAGCACTAAGGTAGGCTTTAGATGCAAGAAGGTATCCATTCAACATGTGCAGAGTAATATCCATCAGTGGTGGACATCTTAACAAAAAAATAAAAGAAAGAAAAATGTATAACAAAGAACATAAACTTGTAAAGAAACCACAATATAATCAATCCAATGTAAATTTTTAAAAACCTGAATACCACATTATAGTTAACTTTTGTCACAAAATCATTCTCTCTCTAAAATAAAATTTGACATATATTTCTTATTCCCTACATGTGGAGATTATATGGTTATCCATTTCACCTTATCAGCTGAAACCAAAGTATCCTTAAATTGTAGAAAAAAGCCATCCTTTTTTTTGTAGGAAATGATACTTGGAGTAAAACTCTAAGAAAGAAGCCATAAACCCGTCCTCAAGGACTCATACATAGACAGGATACCACAACCCTGAGTAGGACAGCCACATGCTACCTCACAGTGACTGAGTCTGATGCCGAGCTTTGGCTTCTGACTCCAGTTTCCTGCTAACATGGGAAGACAGCAGTGACAGTCAATGTCACTGGATTCCTGAAATACAATACGGCATGGGCTCCAAGTTCATCACGCACCATCTGGGTTACAAACCAAGGATCATACTGCTGTCTTCTTTCTACCTACGTCTGTCTCTCTCCACAACCTCTCAAATAAGTTTTTTGGCAAAAAAAAAAAAAAAAAAGATGAATCAAGGCTGGCACCATGGCATAGTACATAGTATACTTGCAGTTTCAGCATCCTATAAGGCCACTACTTCAAGCACAGGTTGTGGCCACTTGGGAAGTATACTAGAAGACAGAAGATCTCTCTCCGTATGGCTCTCCTTCTCTCCATAAATAAGAGGCACAATCTGAAGCCACCAGCAGGTCAAGTTACTGCCTGCAAGGCCAGCATCCCCTATGCGTGCTAGTTTTGTGTCCTGGCTGCTCCACTTCTGATTCAACTTCCTGTAATAAGCCTGGAAAAGCAGCACAAGATGGTCCAACGGAGACCTGGGAGAAGCTCCTGACCCCTGGCTTCAGATGAACTCAGCTCCAGCCACTATGGCCACTTAGGGAGTGAACCAACAAATGGAAGATATTTTTATCTCTAATCTCTGTAAATCAGCCTTTCCAATAAAAATAAATAAATCTTTTATAAAAAAAGAGGAGTACTTCTTAAAGGAAACTGACACCTTTATTTTGATGTAAACAATTGTTGAAATCCATCCAAACAAGAATTTTAAACATTCACAAAAAATGGGGGCTGGTGCTGTGGCACAGTATTTAACATGTTGCCTGGTACATCAGCATCCAACAAGGGACTCTGCTCTGATTCTGACACAACCTCCTGCCAATGCTCATCCTGGAAGGTGGAAGGTAGTGGCTCACATATGTCAGTCCCTCCTATCACACGGGAAAGCTGGACAGAATTCTGTGCTGATCTCCGCCTGGCGCAGCCTCAGCAAGTGCAGGCATTTGGGGAGTGTGTCAATGATGGAAGCTGAACCTTTCTTTCTCTCAAAGCCACTCTGCTTTTCAACTAACTAAATAAATAAATAAAACTTTTTTAAAAGCCGTGAAAAATTAGAAAACTACGTAGGATTTCAACATTTTCTTGTACAAAAATAAATTTAGCTTTTAATTTCATTTTTCATAAATTACCTAAAAAAAATCTGTTTTTATTTGAAAGGTCAAGTAACAGAGAAGAGAGACAGAGAAGGGTATCTCCCACCCACTAGTTCACTCCCCAAACAGCCAGAGTGACCAGAGCTGGGCCAGTCTGAAGCCCGAGAGCAGCAGCTTCTTCCAGGTCTCCCACATGGGTGCAGAGACCCAAGGTGGACCATCCTCTGCTGCTTTCCCAGACCATACGCAGCTAGCTGAACCGGAAATGGAGCAGCTGGGACCCGAACCAGCCCCACAGGCGGAGGCCTAGCCTACTACGTCATTGTACAAACCACTTTCATGAACTTTTTGAAGTATTCTCCCAAAGTTCATAAGTATACACAGGATAAACAGAACACAAAAACTCACACAAGGTCACACTAGATAGCTACCCACAAGAATATTCAGATACAATTAAAACTGAATTTCTTCAGGTTTTTGTTTTGTTTTGTTTTACTCCAAAATACAGTTCCATAACAAAAATGAAACTCACATGGCACATACCTGTGTACCCTCTGATCACACCGTAGGACAATGAGAGGATCTATCATCAGGTCATTCTGAGTATATTTTTGTTGTCGTACAAACTTTATCGAAGGCTGAAGTGCATTTACTGTCATTACCCACAACCTAATAAAGAAAAGATCAAATATGCCAAGCAACTATAATAATTGAAGTCTGTTGTCATACAGTTTTTTTGTATTTTAGAAAGTCATATTCAGGTAAAAATGAGAAACCAAGTTTAAATAAATCATGAAGAATGAAAAATTACAGCTATCCAATCTAGCATTACACCTCTGAAACAAATGAAGACAAAGTAGTAGACACAGTGTTATGCTAAAAATATTCACAACTATAAAGGAATAACCATGGCATAAAAATTAAAAAGAAAAGAAAATGAAAACCCCAGTTACGCCACACATATTCTATGACTCTGGAAGTCACTAAGGGGCTCTGGACTCGCTGCTCATCTGCAGCGCGCAAGCAATGCAACCTCTGTAGGTGAGGCAGTGCTATCCCAACACTTGGAATTTCCTGTGCCCCAAAGATGTGAGCCCTGGTTCTATACTTACCATTATGGTCACAATGTGACAGGCTACTTTGAAAGTAGATAATAATAAATTTTAAAAAGTGGTTACTAAGCTTTGCACAGTGGCAGTATCGTAGCCAATGAGGTTTATCCTAGGCGCGATTATTGCTAAAAAGTGGTTACTAAACTGACACCCAACAAAAAAATAACCAATGTGAAAGTAACCTGATATCACAGTAAAACCCAAGAAACCACTTGCCCCAGGTCACACGAATCTTCTCAAGCACAAATATGCATGGACAATCAAGACCCATCAGACATTAAATGTTTTTAAAGCTTAAAATATAAAAACAGAAAAAGAAAACATCCAAGAAACAGAAAACATAGGGAGAAAAAATATTACTAATATCGTTAAAGAACAGACAAACCATACATAAAACAAAAGGCATTTAAAAATACTCAGAGGGGGCTAGTGCAATGTCATTGCATGTAAAGCCACTGATTGCAACATTAGCATCCTATGTGTATAGCAGTCAGTGTCCCAGCTGCTCCACTTCCACTTTTTTTATTTATGTGAATGGTATAATTACAGAGAGAGGAAGAGCTAGAGAGAATCTTCTACCCCCAAATGGGACTGTCATAGGTGGCAGCTTAACCCACTGCACTGCAGTGTTTAACCACTTTCTATTTTTTCAGATAAAAGAAATAGAATAGTGTTACAACAACTCTTTCATCACATTTTTTCCCAAAAATTAAAATTATAGACTTTTGAATCGTATCCCTGCTATACATTTATCTATCACATGGACCGAAGGCCTGAACTTACCTTCTGGGCATCACAGTATTAAGAACCATCCATAATTTATTGACCGTTTGGAGAATTCTCCGGGGGACCCCTGAGTTCAACAGCTGACTCATGTTGGATGTTAACACTTCCGCATATGGTATGAGCTCACTGGCCGACAGCAGAGTCAAGTGTTCTACAATTTGCATCACTTGCGTGTAACTGACTGAAACAGCTGAAAATGCTAAAAACAAAGTGAATGTAATGATCAATCTAAATTCCATATGCTTACCAAGCAGGTAATAATACTATCCTCTCAGAATATAGGCCACATAAATCAAGAAAACTGCTTCTAAAAAGGAAAAGTCTCAAAACTAGCTACAGTTTTGACTAAACTTACAAAACGGACTTTTTTTTTTAAAGATTTATTTTTATTATTATTTTTTTTTATTGGAAAGGCAGATATACAGAGAGGAGAGACAGAGAGGAAGATCTTCCATCCGATGATTCACTCCCCAAGTGAGCACAACAGCCAATGCTATGCCGATCCGAAGCCAGGAGCCTCTTCTGGGTCTCCCACGCGGGTGTGGGGTCCAAAGCTTTGGGCCGTCCTCGACTGCTTTCCCGGGCCACAGGCAGGGAGCTGGAAGGGAAGCGGGGCTGCCGGGATAGAACCGGCGCCCATATGGGATCCTGGGCGTGCAAGGCAAGGACCTTAACCACTTGTGCCACCGCGTTGGGCCCACAAAACGGACTTTAAGAAAAATTTATGGGAACACAGTTTTATTTCATAAAGAACAAAATTTTTTTTTAATTCCGCTAGTGACACAAACATTCATCTTATTTTCTTGTTGATTCAGACTGATTATAAAAAGAAGATGGGGACTAGAGGGACAGGCAGGTAGCATTGTGACAGAGTAGATTAAAGTGCCTAAAACACTGGCATCCCCTATCACTTCCAATCTGGGTCCCTGGGAATGGCCTGGGAAAATAACTGAGGAGCGCCCAGTACTTGGGCCAGTACACCCATGTGGGAGACTAGATAAAATTCCAGCATCCTGGCTTCAGCCTGGCCCAGTCCCAGCCACTGCGACCACTTGGGAAGGGAATCAGGGGATTGAAAGTGTTTTCTCTCTTCCATCTATCCCTCTTCTCTCTCAGCCTCACCACCTTTCAAACAAATAAAATAACCTGAAAAAAAGAAAAAAGGACAGAAGCAGGAAAATATATGAAACAAAGCATTACTTTTCACAGTTAAAACTTTTTTTGACAGTTAAAACTTTTAAAAGGTTCAGACTTCTTTATATTTTATTCCACATGTTCCCATCATTGAATGTAGGCATCCAGTAGATTACTACTACTACTAAAAAACATTTAGCTCTGCACTCTCCGATACAGCAGCTACTAACCCATGTGGCTTTTGAGTATCTGAAAAGCAGCCATTTGAAACTAAGTATAATGTAAGTACTAAACACATTCCAAACTGCAAAAGCTTATACAGGGGAATATATTTCAATTTTCATATTAGCTACATGATGAAGTAATAAGTTGGATATAATCCATTAAATAACTATTCAAGTTAACTTGGCCTATTTCTTCTTACTTATTCAAGTAGGTACTAGAAAGTGTATAATGTGGCTCACATACTTCTACAAAAAAAACTTACAGCATTACCACTTAACAGTAAGCATATTGCTCTTTTCTATGTCATTTATTTCTAAACAGCTTTTGTTTTTCCTAAAACCTGTATTACCTTTGTAGTGATACAACACAGAATCTATGAGGGAAAAGATACAAGCATTTATCAGAAACAAATGGTTAAAATTCCTTAAACTCAAAGAAAACTATTTAAGATAATGACTAAGAGTAAGTTACTATACGCCCAGGAAAATGCTGCAGGATCATGAGATCTTTGTAAGTCCAGCATCTCAAAGGAGTGTCAGTGCAGTTTACCTTCTTGAAGTTGTTTCGGAGAGTGACTTTTGGCACTGTTAGTCAGGAGCATTCGCCTTAACAGAGCATCAGTCCCTGTGATTTCCTCTTCACAGATCCAATCATCCACAATACATAAGTGTGGGTAGTTAGTTGCAAGTAGACGTAGTAAAGCTGAATGCAACCCTTGAAAATTTACAGCAAGTCAACTGGATTGTCTGTTCTCAAACAACAGAATCTTCCCCAACCCTTTATCAGAAGCTGTGGAACACAGACCTTAAAATATGTACTTCAACTGGTTATAAACTGTACTACTGTAACAATATGGAGGAATTCAATATGGGGGAAGGGTTTGGGGAGGGGCTGGGGGAAATCCCAGAGCCTATAAAACTGTGCCATAAAATGATATTTAAAAAATAAAAAATAATAATTTTTTAAAAATAATATGCACTTCATTTTTTTAAAGACTATTTATTTAGGACCAGGATTGCGGGTGGTGAATGAAGCTGCTGCCAACAACAACACCATTTCATATAGGTATCATGTGGCCAGTTCAAGTCCAGGTAGCATCCCTTCAATCCATCTCCCTGCTAACATTACCTAGGAAAGCAGCAGAAGGCTCAAATGCTTAGGCACTGTCTCCATGCGGAAAACCAGGATGAAACTCCTGCTTCCTGGATCCTGGCCCACTCCTGGCTGTAGTGGATATTTGGAGGGTGAATCAGGAATAGAAGATACCACTCTGTAACTCTGCCTTCCAAATAAGTACACTAACTCTAAAATATGTACTTTTTATAAAAAAAAAAAGATTTATTTATTTTTATTGGAAAATGAGATATAAAGAGAGAAGGAGAGACAAAGAGGAAGATCTTTCGTCCACTGATTCACTCCCCAAATGAGCACAACAGCCAGTGCTGAGCCGATCAGAAGCCAGGAGTCAGAAACCTCCTCCAGGTCTCCCACATGGGTGCAGGGTCCCAAGGCTTTGGGCCTTCCTCAACTGCTTTCCCAGGCCACAAGCAGGGAGCTGGATGGGAAGTGGAGCTGCCAGGATCAGAACCAGTACCCATATGGGATCCCGGCATGCTCAAGGCGAGGATTTTTGTTGCTAGGCCACCACGCTGGGCCTGAATATGTACTTTTTAAGCACCTGTACCACAGCTTGACTTTCTATAGATCAAAAATAGTTGATGAGTGGACATTTGATGTGGTGATTATGTTGCCCCATGGGACACCCAAATTTCACATATGAGGCCTGATTCCACTTTTGATACACTTTCCTGACCATGCTTACACAAGAAGGCATAAACAATGGCTTAGGTGCTGCTGTTTCAGGCATTTGTGAAGTCAACCAGCAGATAGAAAGCCTACCCTGCCACTCTCCTCCCACCCGTACCTTTCAAATAAAATGAAAAACTTTAAAAACTGCAACATAAAAAAAGGAAGATTGGGTCAAGTGATCTCTAAGGTATCTGAGATACAATCACAGAAATAGATTCACAAAGCTACAACAATTTTAAGTGTTAGTCCTGTTTTCCTAGAAAAAGTAGCTGAATATATGTAAATTCACAGGTTATATCCTACGAAATTTCAATGAGAAAATGACTGATCACTAGTACAAAACTGAAAACAGCTGTGGTCTTCATTGAGATGTGGTTTGCAGAAATGGATTGAATTTTTCATACTAAGCATTTATTATTCATTTTATGACATTATAAACAAAATATATTTAATAAACAACTTTAACATAAAGAACAAATAAAGTAAACATACCTCCCAACTCCTGCTGCAGCCCTTGAGCCTGTCGAATAAGGAATTTGATAGGAATCTGATCCATCAAAGACGAGGAGTACGATTTGGGCTTTCTTTGCATAGCAGCTGTCAGTCAAAAAATACAAAGTGTAACATAAATAAAGTGTCGGGACAATAGAAACCTTAACCTTCAACTCAAAAGGGAATAAAAGCAAGAGTGACTTTTAATTCACGTAATCTGTGAATACAGCATATAAAAATCACAAAATCACTACCAAACAGTAGCCACACAAAATAGCAGGAACATACCAAGGGTTGAAATTCAAACAAGTGATGAGAAGTAGCCTAGTAAGAGAGAGAAACCACATACAGAAGTAGTGTCCACTAAAAGAATCATCCAGTCAATATTTCCCCAAATCTAGTTAAACATCATGAACACAGTCATGAACAAGGCTCAGAATTTCCACATTCTTGATCCAACCACACTAACCGTGACAGAGATAACTAACTCAAAGAGAGCTAGTCAATATGAACCAGCAATATAAACTCCACCTCAACCTCTTACAACTCATACGTCAGTCAACAGGTTAATTCTTAAGGAAAAAAATACCAATCAGTACCCTACTCATCCTTTGTTCAATATCTACTAAGAACAATTTCCCTGCCTTTGGCAACTCACATCTTTACTTAAGCCACCAGCATGCAGCTGTAGTCTCCTTTTTTAAATACATATTTGACCAAATCTCGTATCTGCAGCTCTACACTGAACCCCTCACTGTATCCTAGATCACACAGAAGAAAGGTCCTTGCCAGTCAACATTAACTTTGCAGGCCCCCACCTCGCCCGTATTGTACACATCTGGAATCCTAATCTCATTCACTATACTTACATACAGCATAAATACAGGAGGTTCTCATCACAGAGATGAAAACCTGAAAAGGCACATCCAACATACTATTTTTCAAATCACAATATGTAATGTACAGCTTTCAAAAAATTCTTTTATATGAAAGGTACAGGATAACAGACATACACACAGAGGGAAGGAGAGCTCCCATCTGCTGATTCACTCAGTAATTACTCTCAACAGCCAGGGATGACACAGGGCCAAACCTGAAGGCCAGACATAGTTCAGGTATCCCACATCAGTACCAAAGACCTAAATCCTTGAATCATCCCAAGTGTCTTCCAAGGAATGCATTAACAGGAAAATGGATTCTGGAAGTGGATCCAGACAAGAACCCAGGTACTACACGTAGAATACAAAGAACTTAACCACTGGGCTAAATGCCCGCCCAACATTTTCATAGGCTGAGGAGAAGTATATAAGCTCAACAGTTATAACAAAATGTTAAAAATCACTGGGAAGTAGCATTACATTCTTAGAACTGTATCTAGGGATTGGTTGAATCTGCTTTGCCTATTAGTATCACATTAGTATGAGTATCCATGAGAATTCCGTTACAGTAATTATCACATATTTGTTATGTCCCTAAGAATACAAAATATTAATACATTCCTTTAAATTAAAAAGTAAATAAATAAATAAATGGTATCTTTACACACCACAAGCTTATGACTAGCTACTCTCCCTTATAAATTAGTAAGCTGGACCCTGCACAGTAGCCTAGTGCCTAAATACTTGCCTTGTATTCCCAAAGATCCCATATGGACACAGATTCATATACTGGTTGCTATACTTCCCATTCAGTTCCCTGCTTCTAGCCTGGAAGGGCAGTAGAGGACGGCCCAAAAACTTGAGATCCTGCACCTGCATAGAACACCTTGAAGAAGCTCCAAGTTGCTGGCATCGGATCAGATCAGCTCCAGCCAATGCAGCTACTTGGGGAATGGACCAGAAGACAGAAGATCTTTCTTTCTGTCCTTCTCTTTATGCAAATCTGACTTTCCAATAAAATAAAAATAAATAAACCATAAAAAACTAATAAACTAAGACCCTGCTTTATCCATCTTTTATAAACTGAGTAATGGTATGTCAGGGAGCAGGTACTTGCCAGATGAAGTTGCCTGCTGGGATGCCTGTGTCCCATATCAAAGTACCTGGGCTGGGTTCCGAGCTAGCTCCTAACAGCATTGAAATTTCAAGCAGTTGAGTTCCTGTCACCGACATGGGACAACCAGATCCTGATTCCTGGCTTCTAGCTTCAACTTTTCCTCTTTCCCCCTAAGCTGCCATGGCTTGGTGAATGGGAAATAGATGGGAACCCTTTTATCTGTCTCTATTGGCCTCACAAATAAAAATATAAAGAAATAATTAAAGGTTTATATTTATTTTTCTTTGAAACTTGGATACAAAGAGAGGAGGAGAGACTGAGAGAAAGATCTTCCATCTGCTGGTTCACTTCCCAAGTGGCTGCAATGGTTGGAGCTGAGCCAATCAAAGCCAGAAGCCAGGAGCCTCCTCCAGGTCTCTCATGTGGGTGCAGCATCAAAAGGCTTTGAGCCATCCTCAACTACTTCTGCAGGCCACAACCAGGGAGGTGGAAAGGAAGTGGAGCAGCCAGGATATGAACCAGCATCCATATGAGATCCTGTGGTTGCAAGGTGAAGATTTAGCCACTGAGCTATCCTGTACCAGGCCTAAGAAATAACTTTTAAAATGCATTATAAGGCAGATAAAAGAATAGTTCCAGATTTGGGGGCCAACATGGGCATGTATCCTCTTCAACTGTATAGACAATATTGAAAAGAGAATAAAAAATCTGGACACTAAAAGAATAGTTACAGGTTCCAACAGTCAAACCCTGGTTCCAATAATTCCTACCTAAGAAAGTTACCTAAATCCGCTGTAACTATCTCTCTTGTAAAAATAAAGACAACTACCACCTATTTCACAGAACGCTTGTGAGGGTTGGCCTGACCTACAACCCAAACAGTACTCTGGTAGTCCAGAGCACACAGCAAGGACTCAAATATTAGCCAGTCTAAGGACACAGTCTGCAAGATGAGCTTACGGTAAAATATCAGAAAGCAAGTGTCTGGACCTATGAAGCCCAAAATTCTGTCCTGAAACTATTTTCACAGTTCCATCAGAGAACTGGTAGCCCATGAAGCCAACCAAGAGTAATGATTTTTTTTTTAAGATTTATTTATTTTATTGGAAAGGCAGATGCATAGAGAGGAGGAGAGACAGAGAGAAAGATCTTCCGTCCAATGATCCACTCCCCAAGTGGCTGCAACAGCCGGTGCTGACCCGATCTGAAGCCAGGAGCCTCTTCCAGGTCTCCCACGCGGGTGCAGGGTTCCAAGGCTTTGGGCTGTCCTCAGCTGCTTTTCCCAGGCCACAAGCAGGGAGTTGGGTGGGAAGTGGAGCTGCCTGGAGTAGAACCTGCACCCAAATGGGTTCTTGGAGCTTTCAAGGAGATGAAATCCAGGGACCTATTCCATCCCTGTGAGCTCAGACAACTTGACAAAGAAGACTCAGACAGGGAGTAGCAGCTGATTTTGGACAAAGCATGGACATGGTCTTCCCTGTGTGATGTTGACCATCACTGACCTTACCTTTTCTTTTAAGTAGCAAGAAGAATAAAGCCATGGTATGATTCAAAAATAAATAAATAAATCGATCTTTTTTTAAAGTCTTTGGATAAATCCTTACCAATACTTAATATACACAGATGAATTCTAAATATTCTAAAACAAATTAAAAGTGTACATATACTTTTTAAAATCCCTATAATATTTTCATGCCTTTCCTCAAATTTCAGAAATCTATTTTATAGCTTTTGCAGCTATTTGGAAGCTGCTAATAATTTACTAAAGGGTAACAACTGTGCAAGAGCTAGCATACTACAACTATACAGGCATAAACACATCTAAAAAGGAATGAATGTTGTTCCGGCTGTAGAAGAGCAACATTCTCTCATGTTATGACAGTCTACAGTTACATGAATATGTCCCCTTGAAGGAAAAGTTCCACAAGAAAAAAAAAACATCACTTGCCTTTCACATACCAACTACCTATGAAAGACATCAATCCAGAGTGTATTCTCTCTTCTGTTTCATCAATCAATAATCCACTAGATTATTCCCAACTAATTTTCTCTTTTCTCTTTTGAAAAAAAGGAGGGGAGGGAGGGGCAGGGCCATAGTGTAGTAAGCTGAGCCTCTGCCTGTAGTGTGAGTGTCCCATGTGGATACAGGTTCCTATCCCAGCTGCTCCATTTCTAACTCAGCTCCCTGTCTGTGGCCTTGGAGGGCAGTAGAGAGTAGCTCAAGTCCTTGGGCCCCTGCATCCACGTGGGAGCCTAGAGGAAGCTCGTGGCTTTGAATCAGCTTAGATCTAGCCATTGCAGCCATTGGGAAGCGAATCAGCTGATGAAGACTTCTGTCTCTCCTCTCTCTGTAAATACGCCTTTCACATAAAAGCAAATAACTCTTTTAAAAAAAAAACCTGTCTCCTCTGTCTCTAGTGTATTTCCTCCTTTTGAATGCACTACAATCAGGCTTCCATCCTAACACCACCAGGAAAAACGTAAAGGCCAAATGATCCCCTAGCAAGCTATATGTAGCTGTTACCTAAGCCTCAATTCTGTCTATCAAGATTATTTGACATCAGGGAACACAACCTCCCCTTTTAGACATTCTTCTGTTGGCACAAAGGATGTCCCACATCCTCCTGATTTTCCTTCTGTACTCCATCCCCTGGTTAACTCATTTATTGTGTATGAATTTAAATATCACACATATGTTAAAAAGTTTCAAAGCATCTGTGGCAATACCTCCCTTAACTTCCAGGCTACATGTGCAGCTGCCTGTGCAATATGGCCTGTTGGAAGTCTGGCATGTCAGTATGTTCAAATTTAGCTCCTATTCTCCTTACAAATGCGGTCTGCCTGCAGGCTCCCTCTCTTAAGATTTGTCTTATTTATTTTGGAAGGTGGAAAGCGAGAGCAGAAAGGGGAGGGAAGGAAGAAAGAGAAAGAGAGAGACAGAATCTTCCATTTACTGGTTCATTCCCTAAATAGTCCCAAGAGCCAGGACTGTGCCAGGCCAACGCCAGAAGTCAGGAACTCCACTGAGACCTTCTACATCCGTGATGGGGCCCAGTGCTTGGGTTATCATCTGCTGCCTTCCCAAGCACAGCAGAGAGTTAAAGCAGAGCAACCAGGACTCAAACTACACTCCAATAGCAGATGCCAATGTGCCAAGTGGCATCTTAACCTGCAACATGTAACACAATGCCAGTTCCCTCTATTTTAAGCTCAAGTTGAAATCTCTGAGTCACTCTTCACTGCTTGATCTCACATGTAACCCATTAAAGTAAAACTAAGGGTCCAGCACTGTGGCACAGAGGTTAAGCTGCTGCCTCCAGTGCTGGCATCCCATACAATGACAGATTCGAGACTCAGTTGCTCTGTTTCCAATCCAGCTCCTTGTTAATACACCTAGGAAAGCAATGGAGGACCACTCAAGCAGTTGGCCCTTGTACCAATATGAGAGATGTAAAAGAAGCTCCTGGCTACTATCCTCAGACCTGCCCAGCTCCAACAACTGCAGCCATCTGCAAAGTGAATCATCTAATAGAAGATCACTCTCCCTCTGACCCTATCTACATAACTTTGCCATCTAAATACATAAATCTTTAAAAATAAATAAATCTTTAAAAATAAACAATAAAAACTAAGCTGTATTTGGTTCCCTACTAACAGTTATCAGTGCCCCGAATTTTTCCCTAGAATATCTCCTCAGTATGCCATTCCTTTAGTAGCTATTTATAAAATCAAACTTCTCTTATTCACAGAATCCACTCTCCATATGTGGATAAAAATAAGGCATTACCTAATGCTTATTACTAAACCATCTTTTACCTAATATAACAAAGACTGTAATAATAGTCACAGGATATCATGTGTATAACCACAAAATCATAATCAGAAAAAAAAGCAATTGAGAACTCACAATATATTTACAATGTACTCACAATATATTTAAAATATAATATTCCACACAAAAAGGAACTGACTTTCCAAATATTTAAAACCAACCTCAATTTACAACTTTTTAAAAATACGATCACTCAGCTGTGGAAAAACTAACAGTCTTACAAGAATTTTCCTTGTAATATATACTCAATGGCAACATTTTTTTAATATTTGTTTTTCCTTCAAATGTGAAAAACGGGGCCTTTGTTGTGGTACAGCAGTAAGCCACTACTTCTAACCCCAGCATCCTATACTTGAGGTCCAATCTCTCCAGTTCCAATTCAGCCTCCTGCTAATGCATTTGGGAAGGGTACAGAGGATGGCATAAACGTTTGGCCCTTGCCAACGAAATTCCTGGCTCTTGGCTTCCACTTGGCCCAGACTTGGCTATTGTGGGCATTTAGGGAATGAATCAGCAGACAGAAAGAAGGTATGTCTCTTTCTTTCCTTCTCTATCACTCTTTCAAATAAATAAATACATTCTTTAAAAAAAAAAAAAGATTAGGGCCTGGCATGATGGCCTAGTAGCTAAATCCTTGCCTTGCATGCACCAGTATCCCATATGAATGCTGATTTACATTCTAGATGCTCCACTTCCCTTCCAACTCCCTGCTTGTGGCCTGCGAAAGCAGAAGACAGCCTTAGGACCCTGCACCTGCGTGGGAGATCAAGAAGAGGCTCCCAACTACTGGCTTCAGATAAGCTAAGCTCCTATTGTTGTGGCTGTTTGGGGAGTAAACCAGCAGATGAAAGATCTTTCTCTCTCCTTTCTGTAAATCTGCCTTTCTAATAAAAATAAATAAATCTTTAAAAAAAAACAGCTTAAAATACATGCAATGAATAAGCCCATACACAGGTAAATTTTCTTTTACAAATACAGGAAAACATACTACTTATTTTGGTATCTCACATACTAAATCTGATGTTCAGATAAAAGAAGAAGTAGCTAAGTTTGAAAATCCAATTTGGTGATAATGTTAATGGCATAAGGAAAATATTCAACAACATTTCTGTTGCTTCTGATAAGGTTAGTAACGGGAAGTAATCAGAGTAACAACAGAAAGCAAGCAGAAATTTAACTTACAACTCCTTCACATTTATCTCAACTTTAATTTAATGAATGAAGCCACTAAAATTGTCAGACTGCAGACAGTTCAGTCATCTACTAACTGAGTCGGCTGAAGGAAGACTGAGCCCTAAGCAGTGGTTGTGTGCCCACATACAGTTTTACTTACCTATCAAATACACAAGCCTTACAGTGAAAGGATTATAAAATGCTGCTGGAGCTCATTAAAATACTTGCCCTTATTTTATCCTAACAACTTGCAAAGTAACAAATTACAAGCAAATCAAATGAACTTTCAGCAGAACCACTGCCCTGCACACAACTTACCTAAAGTCTTGGTGTTTGCTAGTAGAGCCTCTTCGTAAGACAGTACATAGTAGAGCACCAATAGCTGTGCTGTGATACTGTAACGCTGAGGAAGGCGCACGTTGTCCCCCTGCAGGAAGCATTGCAAACACTTGAAAACACTCTTCAGTCTCAGGAGGGCTGTTCACTTAGGGTTCTGATTTTATTGAAAATAAAACCATCAAAAATCACATTATGTGCTGCAAGCTTGTGTAAAATGGGAGATATGTACGCACTACACTCAAAGAGACAACATGCAGCTTAACTGAAAACTGTGACGGTATGGAGAGGAAAGACAAAATGCTTCGCCTTTAAGACACCAGAAACACAGACTTCAGTTACCACTCAACATCATTTTTAATAGCTCCTGGCAGGCTTACCCAAGTCTAAAGTGCAATCTGACATTACCATGAGGAAAGTACCTCCTAAGTAAGATATTCTGTTAAATACCTAGTAATATTAACTACTCAGTTTCTAAATACATGTGCTAAATTAAAAATACAGCTTTCTCACTTCTAACTAAACAGAGTAAAACATTTTCATCAAATTATCCAGCCATTTGGGCTGGTACAGCAGTGTAGCATGCTAATCCTCAGCCTTCAAGCACCAGTATCCCATGTGGGTACCAGTACAAGTCCCAGCTGCTTCACCACTCAGATTCATTTCACTGCTAATGGCCTGAAGGCAGCAAAGGATGTCCCAAGGCCTTAGGCCCCTGTATCCACAAGGGACGCCTGGAGAAAGCTCCTGGCTCCCAAATGGGGACCAACCCAACTCTGGCCATTGCGGCCATCTGGGGAGTAGGCTAGAGCATAGGTTTCTCTCTGTGTAACTCAAGTAAAATAAATAAATCTGAAGAAAAATGAAAATATTCAGAAATGAGCCTTGGGTATTTCTTAGATTCCCGCTAAGTTTCACAAAGCTTTGTTGAACATGTTACATGCCCACAATCCTCATTCAGTGATTCCGTAAGGAGCTGGCATTGTGGCACAGCAAGTGACACAGCATCCTGTATGAGTTCCAGGTGAAGTCCCATGTGCTTCACTTCAGATCCAGTTCCCTAATGCACATGGCAAGGCAGCAGAGTACAGGCAGTAGGGCCCAAGTGCCAAGGCCCTGAAACACAGGCAGAACCCACATGGAGTCCTAAATGCCAAGCCAGAGCTGGGTCCAGTTCCAGCCATTATGACCCCACCTGGGGAGTGAACCAGTGAATGGACCATCTCTCTGTCTGTCCCTCAGTCTCTAACTCTACCTTTCAATTAAATAAATAAGTACTTTGCATATAAATAATTCCCCAAAAGGTATCTATTTAATAAATGGCCTACATTAGTAGCATTCTTCCATTTTCCCAAGTGATCCAAGGAAATTTATCGTCATTTTAAATTAAAAATCATCTAGAATGTCTATGGTGAAAAAAAAAAGTATAATAAGTCAGAAGAATAAAATTTTTAAAACCAGGTAATAGGGTCCGGTGCAATAGCGTAGTGGTGAAAGTCTTCGCCTTGAACACACCAGAATCCCATATGGGTGCTAGTTCTAATCCTAGCGGCCCCAAACAGCTCCCTGCTTGTGGCCTGGGAAAGCAGTGGAGGACAGCCCAAAGCCTTGGGAACCTGCACCCGTGTGGGAGACCTGGAAGAGGTTCCTGGTTCCCGGCTTCGGATCAGCACAGCACTGGCCATTGCACTCACTTGGGGAGTGAATCATCGGATGGAAGATTTCCTCTCTGTCTCTCCTCCTCTCTGTATATCTGACTTTGTAATAAAAATAAATAAACCTTTTTAAAAATTAAATAAACAAATTTTAAAATAAATAAACAAATAAACAGTTAATAAATGTGTAAGGAACACTATTTTACCCCAATGACTCCTTGGAAAACATTGAGTATCTCTTGTTCTGTGACTGGCTGATTAGTAGCTTCTGGATTGGATTTAGATGCAGGGGTGAGTACAGAATTTATGTACACGTCGATCAGAGGAAGTAGCTGAGGATGGAGCGGAGTGGAGGTTTCACAGAGCTGTCTATAAATCCAGTCCTAAAACAAAAGGTCAGAGACCGTGAGTCACTGTAGCAATAAGAAAAAACATTTGAATCTACAGAGGCACATGTACAGCTTGATGTGGTGGAATTCACTACTCATTGTTCGTAGCTCCAAATATATTATCTAGTTTCATGATTTCTTTGGATTAGAAATATGTACCATTTTTGGATCCTAACAGAAAAAATTTTCCAGCATTATCTGAACCTAAAATGAGAATCTTAGCTGTGAGAGTAGCTAACTGTTTTTAAGTAGTGAGAAAAATATTTTCGGCCCCAGTATTTTTGTATTCGGAGTATGGTGTGTGTTGCCGCAAAAGGCCTCACAGTCAAGAGGAACTTGGATGGTGATAGATCTACACAGCAAAATCTCAGAGATTTAAGAAAGTGACTCATAGGAACTTAGAAAAGATTATCACTTCACTATCACTGATGAAAAGACATGTACAAATGTCAGGTACATATTTACACTCTTAATTCATAACTCCTACACTTGAAGAAAATAAAACCCTCAGAAGAGGTAATCTAGCTAGAAAACAATTACATTAAATCATTAAAAACAAGAGTAACTGGGACTGGCATTGTGGCATGGTGGGAAAAGCCCTGGCCTACAATGTCAGTATTCAATCTGGGCACAATTTGAAACAGAGTTAGTTAGGCAAACAGCACTAACGGATGCATTCTCAGATAGAAATGCCATACCTTTATCGACACTTTGTGCTTGGTAAAGGAACGACTCCTGAGAAGCTGGTAAATACAATGAATAGGCAAAAACCCAGTGATGTTGGCACTCAGGTTGCTTGTAACAGGGACCCGAACTGCATGAGCTGTGACAACCTAATAGGAAAAGACAGTATTAATACACATGGCCACAATAAATATAATACTAATTTATGGGTAGTCGAGTGAATTCCCTACAAAAAAAAATCATAAAAATTGACTGTTCTATATTTTAATTGCTTTGAATGATGAAGAACTACACACACAATGATTTACAAGGTTCCCTTTACTTTCCATTTAAGGATAATGCACACAATGGTGTAACAATGTAAAAAAATATCTAATTGGGCTTCTAGACCTTAGGGAAGCTATTTTATCTTTGGAATCTACTTTCCCATCCATAAAATGGAGTCTTACATTCCTCAAAGGATTGTGAAGGGGAAAGGAATTTTTTTGGAAAAGCATTATGTGAATCACAAAGTACCACATAAAAGTAAACAGAATGTGCCTGGTGCGAGAGTGTAACGGTTGAACTCCTCGCCGCCAGGCCCAAAATAAATAAATCTTAAAAACATACATATATAACTTACCTTAAATATATTAGCTGTATATATATACGAAATTTACGTTCATATATACTTATATGTAAATATATTTGTATGCTGCTTTTATATTATTTATATATAAAATTCATGTATTTATAAATATATAAACTATGTAGATAAAATATAACCTAATAAATATATACTTCATAAGATAATGAAAAATAAAATACCCATAGGCATATCCACGGACAAAAGTATTAAAGCTAAATAAGAGCATCTAAATCAAAGAATAAAGAATTGAAACACTACCTTGTAATATAATTAAAAATGAACTTACAGTCCAAAGATTTAACTACATATTTATCTTATTTTCCCAAGTACAGAAATCCAAATAATTACGGCATGCAAGTATTCCATCATCAATATTTAAGACTATATTAAGTATCTACTCCAAGTCTCAAAAATACATTTTCTTGGCAACATGCTTTGTAATCAGATTTCCTTAGGGCTAGAGACATGGCTCAACTGGTTAATCCTACCCCTGCAAGCTCCAGAGTCCTATGTAAGGACTGGTTCGTTCCCTAGCTGCTCCACTTCCCAGCCAGCCTCTGTTTATGGCCTGGGAAAGCAGCGGATAATGACCCATAGCCTCAGAACCCTGCACCCGTGAGAGACCCAGAAGAAGCTCCTGGTTCTTGGCTTCAAATCTGTTCAGCTCATTTGCAGCCTTCAAAGGAATGAATCAGCAGATGGATAATATTTCTGTCTCTCCTTCTCTGTAAGTCTGCCTTTCCAATAAAAATTTAAAATAAAATCATTAAAATAGATTTTAAAAAAAGAATTCTTTAAAAGTGTATTTTAAGAACAATGTCTGGTCTAGCATTTAACATGCTGCACAGAATGCCCACACCTCGTCAGAGTACATATTTCAAGCTCTGCCTCCACTTACGATCCAACCTTCTGCTATTGTACATCCTGAGGCACAGGGGATAGCTCAAGTACTTGGGTACTTGCTACCCTCATAGGACTTCCAGATCTACCTCCAGGCTCCCACTTCTGTCTTGTCGGTCCTCTCTATTACAAGTACTTGAGGAGTAAATCAGCATATGGAATATTTCTATTAGTGTCTCTCTACTTGTCAATAAATCTGAAAATAACTAAAAGCATACTTTAAACAGATTATTATTTATTCAAGCTTCAAATATATGTCAGCAGTAAAAAACTGAAAAGGCAGGGAAGTATTGTACCATAGTACATAAAACCATTTCCTGTGACAGTAGCATTCCCAATAGACACTGGTTCATGCTCCAGCTATTCCACTTTCAATCCAGCCACCTAATATAATGGGAGAAGCTGGAGATGACTTGAGTGTTTGGGTCCCTTCTACTTAATGGGAGCCCAGATGAAGCACCTGGCTCCTGGTTCATGGTCTTGGCTTGGGCCAACAACAGATATTCTTTTTTTTGGGAAGTGAGCCAGCAGATGAATGATCTTTCTTTCTCTCTCTGTCACTGAGACATTTAAATAAATAATTCATTAAAAGGAAAAAATACATTGAAAACAGAAAAATCCATATTTATTGTCTACACAAATTTTTCACATAAGAATAAAAATAAGTACCTGCTCAGTAAAAATTTCCTGTGTGAAGATAGTCTTCATCCTGCTCAAGGAGCCTGGCTTAATTACAATCTAAAATAACCAAAAGTAAAATAGCATGTTAAAATGCAATACATGAAGCATAACTAATAACTAATGCTGGGAGCATTATTATCTAAAAATGGCTTGGAACATATAAAATTAGTATTCAAACATAAGTAATAACTCTGCTTTAAAATAATGTCTGGGCACCTAGTGCAGTAGCCTAGAAGTTAAAAGTCCTGGCTTTGCATGTGTCAGTATCCCATATGGATCCGGAAGCATATCCTGGATGCTCCACTTCCCTTCCAGCTCCCTGCCTGTGGCATGGGAAAGTAGTCAAGGACGTCCTAAAGCCTTGGGACCCTACACCCATGTGGGAGACCTGGAGGAAAGTTCCTGGCTTCCGGCTTCAGACAGCTTAGCTCTGGCCGTTGCAGCCACTTGGGGAGTGATCCAAGATATGGAAGAACTTTCTTTCTTTCTCTCCATCTCTCTATAAATCTGACTTTCCAATTAAAAAATTTAAAATAAATAAATAAATCTAAAAAGAAAAGTCTGAAACCTAAAATAATTGTATTTTCCCTTAGAAATAAAACCAACATACAAAGGACTAAGTAAACACTATTACTGTCATTTTAAATCAGTGGAAGGAAATAAAGTATGCAGCTACCTTGTTTTGTGAGCAGTACGAACATGCACAAAAATTTTCGTCGTACACACAGTATCATACACCCAAATTAATCCAACTGGATTGTAAATATAAAACATATAGCTACAAAAAGTTAAAACAAATGTCAAAAACAAATTACAAAAACCAATAGAGGGCCCGGCGCGGTGGCGCAAGTGGTTAAGGTCCTCGCCTTGCATGCCCGGGATCCCATATGGGCGCCGGTTCTAATCCTGGCAGCCCCGCTTCCCTTCCAGCTCCCTGCCTGTGGCCCGGGAAAGCAGTCGAGGACAGCCCAAAGCTTTGGGACCCTGCACCCGCGTGGGAGACCCAGAAGAGGCTCCTGGCTTCGGATCGGCATAGCATCAGCCGTTGCGCTCACTTGGGGAGTGAATCATCGGATGGAAGATCTTCCTCTCTGTCTCTCCTCTCTGTCTCTCCTCTCTGTATATCCGCCTTTCCAATAAAAACATAATAAAAATAAATCTTTAAAAAAAAAAACAAAAACCAATAGAAAAAAACATGTCAAAGCAAAAACCATAATAGAAACACCTGCTATGCTACATAAAATGATTAATTTTCACATGGCCAAAAACACTAGGCAAAAATCAATTGTAAAATTATACTTCACTTTCAAAATATTAAGAAATAGAAGATACAGGTGACCAACATGATGGTTCAGTGGGCTGATCCTCCTCCTTCAAACACTGGCATTCCATATGTGGATGCCAGTTCATGTCCCAACTGCTCTACTTTCCACCTGCTTGTGGCTTGAGAAGCAGGTGGAGAATGGCTCAAAGTCTTGGGACCCAGTATTCACGTGGAGTCTCAAAAGAAGCTCCTGGCTCCTGGATTTGGACTGGGTCAGAACCAGGCCACTTGGGGAGTGAACCAGCAGACAGAAGATCTTTCTCTATGTCTCTCTTTCTCTCTGTCAATCCCACTTTCCAATAAATAAATATTTTTAAACATAAATACATAAGACATGTCATCAACATTTTTCCTTTTCAAGGGAAAAACGTAGAAGCGAACAACACTACCACATTTACATTATGCCAGTACAAAATCAATCCAAATTTCAGTATTGAGTTACGAGAATGTCTTGAAATCAACGAGACATAATCTAAGGCAAAATGGCTATCTATAACAGGGAAGACCTCTGAATCAAAGAAAAGAAAAATAAAATCTCTACAGAAAAAATAAAACACTAAAATGCTTTTCACACATACTCCTACACAGAACCTGCCAAAATACAGATTTGAAAAAGTACAGTTCTAACAATAAGCAAAGAAGTTCAAAATAAATGAGAACACTCTCCAACAATTAAATTCGCAAAGATTTAAAAAAAGGGGTGGGGTAATGGCTAATCATAACAGGTTAGAACAGAGAACTTCTCATACACCAATAGAAACGATTACACTGGTGTAATCTTTTTGAAAGATAATCAGGCCACACTCACGGAACACCGTATCATGACACCCTTTTATTTAGTCAACTACCTTCCAGAACTTGATCCTAAGGAAACAACCTGGGCCCAGACTCATGGCTCAGCGGCTAAATCCTCGCCTTACATGCACAAGGATCCCATATGGCCTTTGGTTTTTGTTCCGGCCGCTTCACTTCCCATCCAGCTCCCTGCTTGTAGCCTGGGAGAGCAGTGGAGGATGGCCCAAAGCCTTGGGACCCTGCACACATCTTTGTGACCTGCAGGAAGCACTTGGCTCCTGGCTTCAGCTCCGGCCATTGTGGTCACATGGGGAGTGAACCAATGGAGCGGAGACCTTTCTCTCAGACCTTTCTCTCTGTATCTCCTTCTCTCAAGTGAATCTGCATTTCAAACAAAAAATAAATAAATCTTCCAAAAAAATAAAAAAACAAAAAACTGACACATGTTTGAATACATATATGTGTGTAAAAATCTGCATACATGAAAGGTCCTCAGTTTACTGAAAACTGTTAATTATGAAAAATTAGGCATGGAGTTTCAAAATTTTTACATCAAAATAAGCTTATTTTTAATTCTATTTCTGCATGTACACTTTGAAGTGCCTTCAGAGTTACATAAAAAGCCACTTTAGGGCCAACAGGTAAAGCTGCCACCTGGAACCCTGGCATCTTGTAAGGTGTTAGTTCAATTTCTGGCTGCTCCTCTCCTAATGAAGCTTCCTGGTAATGGCCTGGAAAAACCAGCTCAAGTGCTTGGAGCAATTCTGATATTTCTTAATTGAAAGAATTACACTGTTCTCTTTTTTGTGCTTTGAAGATTTCTTCATTGGACATTTACAATTCATACAAGTAAGTGTTCTCAAAGTCTTTTTTCCAGGAGCTCATGATGAAACTTCAAACAACTAAAACAGCACATGAAAATAATCTACTTACTTTGTGCCACAGTCACACATCCAGTTTAGAAATACTTTCTTTTAAAAAGCAGATGTAAAAAACAAAATTACCTTCATTCCCAAGGTGGAACACACTAAATCAATGATTGCGCTGAGCTGGTTGCTGTGAAAATACATGGCCACCAACAGTAACATCTCCCCAAAAGAAGCAGAGACTCCAGAAGTGCTGTTCAAACAGAAAAGAAAGTATGAAACTCCAAAGAGAATGACAACAGCTTTCCCACAGAAAAAAACAAAATGAGTCACCTTACCTCTCAAAGTAGGCTTCTTCTTTTATCATCCAGCTGAGCCACATCACCATCAGCTGCTCCTGCTCAGGGGTACTACAGAGAACATACCAAGCCATCACAGGTTTACATCAAATGTAATAGCAACTGAATAAGAAAGCACTGTCAAATTATTTTTGGAAGAAATCCTTATTTCCTTCTCTACTGTGAAATATCAAGCCAGATTAACTACTTGCTGAACTGAGCCAGCGTCACTCAGGCAGGAAACGGTAGTTCCAGATCTCAAGAGTGAGGATATCTACTCTTTTCAAATCTCAACGGTCACAACTTCTCAAGGTCTCGGCCACACACGTAAAGGCTGGACACCATGAGCACCACATTCCTTAGAAGAGCAAATATTTGGGGGATGTTTGGAATTAAAATGCAAAAAGAACTCCAATAACTCAATAACTGAAACTAATCTTACATTAAAAAAAAACAACTTAGTAACAAATTTAAACAACAACAACAAAATAAATAAATAACATTCATACCCTGAAAAGTAAAACTTCATTTACAGAAATTTATTTTTTAATTTATTTTTTTATTGGAAAGGCAGATGTACAGACAGGAGGAGAGACAGAGGGGAAGATCTTCCATCTGATGGTTCACTCCCCAAGTGACCGCAACGGCTGGAGCTGAACCAACCCAAAGCCAGGAGTCAGGAGCTTCTTCTGGGTCTCCCACATGGGTGCAGGGTCCCAATCCTCTGAACTGTCCTCGACTGCTTTCCAGGCCACAAGCACGGCTGCTGGGATTAAAACTGGCAACCATATGGGATCCCAGCACGTGCAAGGCAAGAACTTCAACCACTGTGCTGTCACGCCAGGCCCTACAGAAATTTTTAAAGTAGAACTCAAAATTATAGAGAAAAGAATGCTGACTAAACATCCATGTCACCCAATGGGAGATCTGGACAGAAGTTGAGGATCCCAGTTTTGGCCTGGCCTGGCCAGTCAGTGAAGATGTTTCAAAAAAGAATCAGCAAACAAAAAATTCTCTTTCTGTAATTTTGCTTTCAAATAAATAAATAAATCTTAAAAAAAAAAATGCCAGGAAGAACAGGAAGAAGAAATAAGATAACGAGGAGGTCCTGACAAACTGTCAGACAGTCAAGGACTGTCACATACAAGCACCAGTTTGTGTCCCAGCAAACCCACTTAAAAATCATTAAAAAAAAGTTATGATGCAAATACTTGAAATCCACTAATGTACACTTTCCATTTACTTTTTCAAGTAACTTCATACATTTAAACACTATGTACAAGGCTAAATTTGGTTATTACATTAGATATCAATAAAGGTTTAAAAAAAATAGTTTCTGGGTATTTCACATGCTGAGGCACAGTGTGTTAAATGTTTACATGGGATGCCCACAAACCATGTCAGAGTGCTGGAGTTGATGTCCCACCCCCACTTGCTATTGAGCTTCCTCTTAATAAGAACCTGACATCCGCACGGAATACCTAAATGGAGTTCCATCAGCTGGTTCACATCCCATTGCTCAAAACAACCAGAGCAGCAACAAGAAGCTGCTAGGAGCCTGACCTCCTATGTAACACAGACCCAGTACTTCAGCCATCATGTGTTGCTTCCCAGCCACATAAGCAGGGAGGGGCACAGCAGCGGAGCAGCTGAGATTCAAACCTGCACCTTGATATGACATGTTGGCATCACAAACAGCAGCCCAACCGCAGTGCTACATCACTGGCACCAATACATGCATTTTAACAATAAAACTAGACTTAGAAAAAAGATAGATCAATTTACAAAGTAAGGTACCTGACCAGTGTGGAAAAGGCCAGCAGCATACAAAAGGAAAGGGAAACAAAGCGAACCCCCGCTGGTGTAGCAGGAGGACGGCTGGTCATCAGCTGGAGTAACTGCTCAGCTTCTTCTTCTGTTGGCCTAAAAAGGAACATATGACTGGGTTTCACTTTTTAAACTAAGGGCAGAAAAGACGAAAGCATAAATGCTCCATCATTGGAGATGCAAATTTTAGCAGATGTAAATTTTTTTTTTTAAAGATTTATTTTAGTTTTATTGGAAAGGTGGATATACAGAGAGGAGAGACAGAGAGGAAGATCTTCCATCCGATGATTCACTCCCCAAGTGAGCACAACGGCCAATGCTGTGCTGATCTGAAGCCAGGAGCCTCTTCCAGGTCTCCCACGTGGGTGCAGGGTGCCAAGGCTTTGGGCCGTCCTTGACTGCTTTCCCGGGCCACAGGCAGGGAGCTGGATGGGAAGCGGGGCCGCTGGGGCTAGAACCGGCGCCCATATGGGATCCCGGGTATGCAAGGCAAGGACCTTAACCACTTGCGCCATCGCACTGGGCCAGCAGAAGTAAATCTTAAATTTAACAATAATACCTCACTAGTTAAAATCTAAAAAAAAAAAAAACCCTTTGCCTTCTCATGTTATTCCAAACAAAAAACACCAGGGCCACATTAAGTCATGGCCTGCAAAGCCAGCATTCCATTGCAGAGCATGGTTCGAGCCCTGGCTGCTGTGCTTGTCCTGCAGCTCCCTGCCAATGTGCCCAGGAAAGCAGCGCAGGATGCTCCAAGTCCTCAGATCCCTGCACCCACGGTGGAGAGCTGCATGAAGTTCTGGGCTCTGGTTTCAGCCCGATCTAGATAGACCCACCAACTACAGCCACTTAAGTGAATCAGTGTATGTAACATTTCTCTCATTGCCTCTGCTTCTCTGTCCTTCCGTCATTCTGCCATTCATACATTTTTTTAAAGTTCATTTAAAAATAAAAAAATGTTGGGCAACTGCATTTACAGTGTTTATCCATAGACACAAAAACAGGCAATCCTAACTTTGCCCACCATTATAGGACCATAAAAATGACTCTACAAATTAAAACCCATACAATGTGATCTTCATAATAAAGTATGTCAAAGCATTCCAAACTGTGTCAGTAATAATACATAGAGATGTGGAAAACACCAGTAAAACAAATATTTATACAGCACTCTACAACAGAGAAGCAAACAGTGGGAACCATTACATTCTTTTGTGAAAACCTTATCAAGAGTATTTTAGGGCTCAGTGCAGTAGCCTAGCATGCGCAAAGATCCCATATGGATGCCAGTTCTAATCCCAGCAACTCCATTTCCCATCCTGCGCCCTGCCTGCGGCCTGGGAAAGCAGTTGAGGACAGCCCAAATCCTTGGGACCCTGCACCCACATGGGAGACCCAGAGCAGGCTCCTGGCTCCTGACTTTGGATTGGCACAGCTCTGGCCATTGCGGCCGCTTGAGGAGTGAATCAGTGGGTGGAACATTTTCCTCCCTCTCTCTTTTCTCTGCATATCTGACTTTCCAATAAAATAAAATAAATCTTAAAAAAAGAAAATAAAAGAGAATTTTAATAGCCACTTCCTTTCTTATTTTCTAATTTATAAAACACACTAAGCATCTTCTGAATGCCTTGATGAATTGTCATATCCCTTTCAAGCAAAAAATAAATACATCTTTCTTTTTATTTTTTAAAAGATGTATTTATTTTTATTGGAAAGTCAGATATACAGAGAGGAGGAGTGACAGAGAGGAGGATCTTCCGTCTGATGGTTCACTCCCCAAGTGAGCGTTATGGCTTGAGCTGAGCCAATCCAAAGCCAGGAGACTCCTTCAGGTCTCCCATGTGGGCAAAGGGTCCCAGTCTTGGGCCGTCCTTGACAGCTTTCCCCCAGCCCACAGATAGGGAGCTGAATGGGAAGCAGGGCCACCGGGATTAGAACCAGCGACCATATGGGTCCTGGGGTGTTTAAGGCAAGAACCTTAACCACTATGCTATCGCGCCAGGCCCAATACATCTTTCTAAAAAAATGTCACACGGGTTTACCACCAACAGACAAGAAGTAACACAACCAACTACTTTAGTGCCTGTGCATATGCACTGTGACTACAAACAGATTTTAAATGATGTGATGCCCTTGACCACTGCTCACATCATCCACTATTTCAGTCACGACATATATCCTAAAGTATGCACAGCAAAATTTACACTTTGTATAATTATATGATTAAGATATCATGGTAACTGAAATTTGAATTATGTTGAGGAATCAATATTTAACTAAACCAGCAGAAACTGAAATTTGTAGAACGCAAAATGAACAATATATGCATTAACAGTTAAGGATCTGACAGACCACACACTACTGTCAGGCAGGGCTAGGCTAAAACTATAGATTATATTTAACATTTGAGGCCTACAAACTGCTCTGGTCCTCCCATATTTGCATTATTCTGTAGGTTAATTACATCCTGTTGGGAATGATTAGCCTTAGGACTTTATTCTTGACATAAGCTAGCTCACTGCCTTAGCTGAATATAAGACCCAAATGCTCAGAACAAAAGGCCTTTGGCTTGCTTTGGTGAGATTAGAGACAAGAGAGATAGGTAAAATATCAAAGGATTGAATACTTGAGTCCAGCGATCCCCATTAGTGCACAGTACAGACGTAAGAGTGCGCTGGCTTTCACAACGTGCTCTTCCTTCAGCCCCGAATACACAGACACATTGGGCTCCATGTCCACGTCAGCTTCCTCCACAATGCGGGTACTCCTTACTGTGGGAAGAATGCCCATCAGCTCCAGGAGAAGCTGCCTTCTCATTTGCCAAAGAACAGAACTGCTGGTTTCTTTCTTTCTCTGGAAAAAATGGAAATCATAAATGGAAGAAAGCACAGAACATTAAGGAAGCTCAAGCGGCGGCTAATGTTCACCTTAGGAGACAAGTGATGACCCAGTAGTCAAGTCCCTGACACCTACCTCAACGACCCCCTGACACCTACCTCAACGACCCCCTGACACCTACCTCAACCACCTGGATTGAGTTTCCAGTTCAAGACATTAGCCCCCAGCTGTTGTGGACATTTGAAGAGTGAATCTCTGCCTCTCAAATAAACAAACATATTTAAAAATCTAAAGCAAAAATAAATTTAAGAAACCTCAAATAAACCTTAAACACTTAAGATTGAACCATTTGACAAGGCTGCCAAAATTGCAGAATGTCCTTGCTTCAGTAATATAGCCTTGGGCCTGGCACAATGCCTCAACTCACTAATTCTGCACTTGCTGGGACATAGATCCCACAGGGCACCAGTACATGTCCCAGTTACTCTACTTCTAATCCAGTTCCCTGCTAAGGTGCCTGGGAAAATAGTGGATAATAGCCCTGAACCCATGTGAGAGACCCAAAAGAAGCTCATGGCCTCTAGCTGCAGACCAACCCAGCTCCAGCCATTGCAGCCATATGCAGAGTAAACCAGCAGATGGAAGATCTCTCTGTCTCCCCTCTCTCTGCAGTTCAGCTTTCACATAATCTTTGCTTATCTATTTGAAAGGCAGAGAAGAGAAAGTCACATTCACATTTAATAGGATTATTCTTTCTAAATGTGTTAAGTTTTTCCAACATCTCAGTTTCAATTTCTAATATGGTAAACATCAGTACCTCAAAGCCACAGAAACAAAAACTCTACTATTCTTAGTGATGTTTTAAGATGTAAAGATGTCCCTGGATGAGAACCACTGGTCAAGCAAGACCATTCAGTAACTGCAAAGATCTCCCAATCTATTACACATACAGATACTTAACCCTCTCACCTGCTGTCCATTTCGGATAAAAGTTCCAAACCAAGTGCGGACTTTGGCATTTGTTCCAAGAAGCAAACCACTAACGAAACAAACCAAGTCACTCACTCCATCTTCACAAGCTTCATTTTTAGTATGATCCAATGTCAAAGCCACTCCTAGACCTGGCAAGTGACATTCCTCCACCTAACACAACCAAGAAAACAAATCAAACTCAAGGTCATACAGCAAAGGAAGAGGAAATCTCACACACATTAACTCAGATAGAAAGGTAACTCCCCTAGCATTTAACATAAATTCTAAACATCTTAGCCTTCAGCCTGTTAGAAAGGCTTTTGACCTGTAGAACCAACAGGTTTCTTACCACCATGCCTCGGACCTTGAGGGCCTGGGAAGGATTCATCTTACATAAGTAGCGTAAAGCATCTGTCCTACGCCTTCCTCCAAGACTTTCTTCATCCTGTCGTTCTCCATTTTTTATCAGGCCCCTACAAACTAAATATTTAACAGTCGCTATTACTTCAGGTTACATAAGTAAGATGTCAGAAAGAATTTTTTTTCAGCCTTAAGTATCACTCATTTATGAACGTTAGATATTACAGAAGGAAAAAAAACAGGGGCCTTGAAAGCACAACCACGCAAACTGGTCAAAATGAAGCAAAGAATTAAGAGATTCAAAATTGAAAGAGTAGCCTATGGTTCAGCACCATACCATCAAACACACTGCAACCACAGTTGTAGAAAGAACCGGGAACAGCAGGCAAACATCAACTTAAAAAAAGTCTTGCATGAACTTTGAAGTTCAATGAGCCTCAAGCACAACAAAGAATATCATACAAAAGACAAAGAGGAAAACAGAAAATCATGAAAGTAATCTTAAGGAAATCAGATAATATAATAAACCCAGAGGAGAAAAACATTATGAAAGAACACAGACAAAAATCATGAGACAGTAGGATGCTTTTTTGCAACTTACTTATTAAACATTTTTCTATTTATTTGGAAGTCAGAACTACATAGATAAAGGAAGAAAATTAGGAAGAAATCTTGAATCTACTACTTCAATCACAGTGGCCACAATAGCCAGCACTGGGCCAGATTGAAGCTGAGGATGGCCCAAAGCCTTGGGACCCTGCACCCACATGGGGAACCTGGAAGAAGCTCCTGGCTCCTAGCTTCACATCAGCTCAGCTCCGGCCACTGCAGCCACTTAGGAGGTGAACCAACAAATGAAAGATCTTTCTCTGTTTTGAATATCTGCCTTTCCAATGAAAAAATAAACAAATCTTTAAAAAAAAAATTCAACATTTAACTTGGATACTCAATGAGACACAATTAAAATCTGAGGGAGCAGGCTTTGAGTCTCCCAGTTAAGACACCCACAACAGAAGACCCAAGTTTAACCCGTGATTAAGATCCTGTCCCCCGTTTCCTGCTAATGCACACACTGGGAGGTAGTGCTGACGGCTCAGATGCTTGGGTCTCAGACACCCACACACGGCAGCTGGACTGAGTCTGTGCACTGCAGCCACAGGCTGGCACAACCTGACCATCGCTGGCATGTGTGGAGCTAACCAGCAGATGCAGGAGCTCTGCCTCTGTATTTCTTTCTCAAACCCTCTCTCCATATACTCTATATCATGCTCTGTCTTTCAAATATATTATTTTCAAAAAAAATCTGAAAATCTCAAATGTTTCTTCTTAGCTCCAAACAATAGATTCTATACATGCCCATGCAAATCTCTTCAATATGCCACTTTGATATTATATTTACCTTCATTAAAACTATCAGGAACATTGGCCACCAAAAGACATAAGAACCAGGCACCATTTCGAACATGTAGCAAGGCCTCAGCCACATCAACTATTGGAAGCAAGGAAGGAAGCTCTGTAATAAAATAAAGACAAGGTTACTATAAAGAGTGATTTACCATTATATTTTACATTGAAAATCTTCTGACGTTTCAGATATCATCCAAAAGTAATTTTATTACTTTCTTTTCACAGTTGAAATGACAGTCATTTGCCACATATGCATGATAGCTTCCGCTAACAGCACAGCATCAAACACTGTAGAAAGTTTTAATGAGAAGTGTTTTTTAAAAAATTATTTTCATGAACATTCTTTGCATTTTTATGTCTTTTCCTCTTTTTCTCATATTTTCTAATACATGAACTTGGAACATATAATCAAAATCACCTCTAATCTCATCTCAGTTAATACATTTTAAACATAACCATGAATATAGTCTTATTTCAAAATATAACAACTGGGATTATATTCCAGCTACTATTTTGTCCTTTACTTTCTTCATTTGACATACTTGGGACATTTTCCAAAATTATTAATGGACACTTAAATCACCAAATCAAACATATAATTTTAATACCTACATAATACATCATACTGTGGAAACAACATATTTTACTTAATAATTGTTCAATATGAATCACTTTCTAATTTTTGTAGGTACATTTTTATTAGAAGATTTTTAAAATAACACAACATGCCAGGGTAAGAAGTTACATAGTATCATTCAGTAGGAAAAGTGTAGTCCAAATGTATCTTAGCACTAGGTGTAGTACCTGCTTGTAAAATGCAAAGCACGTCCGCAGCTTCCTCCAAATACACTGGACTCTCAAAGAGTTCAGAAGACTTGAGAAAAAACTCTCCATTGGATTCAGAAACCTAAAAAACAAAAAACAATTCTATTAAATTCAATAATGTGGGCAGTGGGATAAGCCACCGCTCATGACAATTACATCTCACGTCAGAGTGCCAGTTCAAGTCCTGGCTGCTCCACCTCCAATCCAACTTCCTGCTACTGCAGCTGGGAAGGCAACAGATGATGGCCCATGTACTTTGGTATCTCCCTTACAGAAGACCCAAATGCAGTCCTAGGTTCCTGGCTTCGGCCAGCTGCAGACATTTTAGGAGTGAAACAGTGAATGGAAGATGTCTCTATCTCCCTCCCTATCTACTCTGCCTTTCAAATAAATAGATACATGCATTTATATATTTATACATATATTACATACACTTAAAATATTAATAAGTTTTGGTAATGAATTAAGCTCATTGCTTCTGAAATTATGTTGAGCTCACATATCATGTCTCTTAAAATGTCAATTATCCAATTCTCAAAGATTTATAAGGAAAATGGAGTTAAAACTCAGAGCAGCAGAAACACTCTCTAAATTCTACATAGTGCTAGAGGGGAAAAAAAAGACAAGCTCCTAAATAAGAAAGTCACTTATTTTATTACAGCCATTAAGTGATGTATTAAAAAAAGATACAGAGCCAGTGCTGTGGTACAGTAGATTAAAGCTGTCACATGCAGTGCCAGTATTGTAGATGGGCACTGGTTCAAGCCCAGGCTGCTTCACTACCAACTGACACCTGGGAAAAGCAGGGGAAGATGGGCTGAGTGCTTAGGCTCCTACACGAAGTTCCTGGATTCAACCTGGACCAGCACAGGCCATTGAGACCATCTGGACAGTGAAGCAGCAGATAGCAGATGCCTGCCTCTCTCTCTCCTCTCTAATCCCACTTTTCAAAAGAATAAAATATATCTTTTAAAGAAATGTATAGGAAAAATTTGGGTTGAAATTAAAAAGTAATAGTATAACAGGAGAGAAGAAAATTATAATTTGTGATAGAAATTTTACAAAAATTTGCAATATATCTTAAAATCTTGACCTAAAACCAGCTAAAGCACACTACTCAATGTCCTCAGTACCTATTATTAAACAAAAACAAATCAGCCATCTAATTTGTAAGGCTAGTCAATCACCTTACTTCCAGTTCAACTTTAATACACCCAACTCATTGTTACACACGAAGTAATTAGGGCTCACCCATTGTCTAAATAAATCAGTTTTCAAGTTATACTTCACTATTCTAATTTATGGGGGAAATTGGATCCTCCAAGAGTATTATCAATCTCGGTAATCCATACAAATCTGGAGATAAATTCCTTTGGAAATGTCAAGGGACCAGCCCTGTGGGCTAGCTGGCTAACACTCAGAATGCCAGCATCCCCTGCGGTGCTAGAGCAAACCTCAGCTCCTCCATTTCCAACGCAGCTCCCTCCTGATGTGTCTGGGAAAGCACAAGACGTTGACCCAAGTGTTTGTACTCCTGCACCCATGTAAAATACTGAAACGAAGTTCCAGAAACTGGCTTCAGCCTGGCTCAGCCCTGGTCACTGCAGCCATTTAGGGTGTGAACCAGCAAATGGAAGGTATCTTTGTGTAACTCTGCCTTTCACATAAACAAGATTAAATCTTTAAACTAAATAACATCAAGATGACACTGTATGGGAGCAGCTATCATGGTACAGAGGGTGAAGCTGCACTGGAACATGCCCAGCACCACGCAGAGTGCCTGGGATCAAGCGATGCCTCTGCTCGGATGACAGGCAGCAGGTTCTGGTTCAAGTGTTCGGGTCCTGCTATCTACAGAAGACGGGGGGATGTTTATAGCTCCCAGCCCTGGCCAAGCCCAGGCCCACACCGTATGGATGCATGAGGAATTGGAAGATAGCTCGTTTGCTAGCTCACTCCCTCTCTTTTTCTCTCTCTCTTATTCAGTGTCTCTAAGTCACTCTACCTTTCAAGCAGAAAAATAAATAAAAATTCATTTTAAAAAAAAGGAGAAAAAGAAGGCATTTTATGGACCCCACAAAAAATGGAGTTCCTGTGACAGAAAATGTAGAATAGGCATAAATGAGAGATATAGGCATAAATGAGAGACAGTAGTAATTGTATAATAAGACTGAAAACCCTAAGCCTTTGAAAGTAAAACGTGTCTCAAATAGAAATAGGAGTACAATAGGATAGAATGTGCCTTGCTGCTCTGGTTTTCACAGACATCACATCATGAATACCCTCAGCTGTGCTGAAATTACCTTGTTCATGATGGCCAGCAGCTCACTCAGCACCAGCCGCAGGCGCCGAGGAGAGTCGCTGTGTTCAAACTCCAGTGTGAGTCCGTGCTGGAGCTGCGACACCAGGATGCTCTCTCCACTGCCTCCCCCGAGCTTATGCCTAGTAAATTACAAACACACAATAGCAATGACCAGGACATTTGTAAAAAAAAAAAAAAATCATCTTCTTAAAAATGACCTTATTGAAATCGTCAACAAAACAGCATATCAATTTTAAATGTTTTCTATGACTCGTGAAGTATCACTTAGTTTACCTATCATTTTGGGGACTCACAATCTACAAATGTAAAGACTCCCTCACAACCAATCGCTAGCAATGGCTTTCAAGAGGACAGCAGTTTAGTCCTAGATTCACACAAGGGAAGAAGAAACACAACACCCACCTGGAACCTTTGTGAACCAGCGAAAGCTGCCCAAGTGGAGAGTTCGCCAAACCCTTCCCACAAAGTAACTGCCTTCATAAATTCAATCCACCAGCCACAGAATATATAACCCAACTTCTCTAAGACATTCTATAAGAAGTGAGAAGACACTAGAATTTTAACCATAAATGGAAAAGACCTAAGTAAAGCTGACACTATCATTCTGTTCTCTGGAGGAGGTTCTGCAAAGGAAAACCATTGGACATTCTCCTCCCAGGTAAATTCAAGCAAATCCCAACTTGCCCGTCCTGTTAACTCCACCTTACCTAAGCTGCTGTTCCTTGCTGGCATCCTGTTCTAAAGCGTGGAAGTCCACGGACAGCAAGGCCACGATGGAGTTGACGGCTTCCACTCCAGACAGAAGGCGGAGGATAAGCTTTTTATCTTGAGCCCAGCTTTGACTCTGGTCGGCAGGAGCGCAAAGCGCCATCCGCACCAAACAGGGCAGGAGAAGCCTGAGTTCTGGGTCACTGAGCGAAGCCAGGCGCACAACATCCACCTTCTGCATCGCCTCAAAGGCGAAAGGGCTGACAAACTGAAGGCTCGAACATTCAGTCATCATCACTGTGGATCCTAGTGATAAAAAAAAAAATGTAGGGGTTCAACTTCCATAGATATGAATACCCTCTTTTTAAAAATATCTGATCCCTACACCATTCAACCTTGGTCTGTCTGCCTTGGTTCCTCCCACCACATGGGTAATAATAACACAGGGGCTCTCCGTGCCTCCCCCAGCCCAAGGAATCTTCTGCTCTCAGGAGGTTTTCAAAGCTTGTTGTAATCGTGTATCTGGCACACAGTACTAGAACTAGGTAGTGGCAAAGCCCAAAGTTTAACTCTCACCTACCAAGTGCTCGTCCACGCCCTCCCCAACAACACCTGTCCCAGGAGCGCCACAAAACACCAGTAGCTGCCCGCAGCACAGAGGAGCTAACAGCAAGTGCCAACTAACGGCTGCCTCCCTCCACACGCCTACTACCCCACTCCCCCGCCAGTCCATCACCTGGCTGGCCACAAACCAGGTCACACTCAGGCTCCCTGGCTGCCCTGTGTGAATGGGTCAAAACCTCATGTGTAGGCTCAACAGAAAAAGCAGCGTGCCACCTAGGAAGGTGCTTGCAGTCTGTCCTCAGGAGTCGTCAAACTTCCCGCTACGACCCTCCCTCCCCAAACAAACACCCCAAAAAGCCAGTAAGCCAGTGGACAATTCGTCAAAGCCATTTCCTGCTAAGAACAACTGAGCAGCCCAACCGTGGGCACGGGGCGTGGGCAGGAATGCCGCTCGGCTTGCCAGCGGGAGGAGCTGGGCTTTGAACACCGGGCTTGGACGGCATGGGGCAGGGACATCCAGACCCGCGGGCTCACAGGGACTTGCCCCGGAACAGGCATAACACAAACCGAGAAAAGCCCAGCCGGCAGCCGACAAAAGCGCTCACGCTTCGTACCTGAATATTCTACCCTCCAAGCCTCACGGGCCCCCACGGGAATTCTGCGTCCAAGAGGCGGACGCGGCAGAAATCGAGAGCGCGGTCCGACGTCGGGCCTAAGCGGTAATCTGAGTCCCCAGACCCCAGCGGTGCCCGACTCGACCGGGGACACCCAGAAATCAGACGCCGGGGCCGAGCCGGTGGTGGGCTAGAACGGGGGCGGGATGGGGACGCCGCACCGGAGGGGGTCGGGGAGCACCCAGGCTGCAGGGAGGGAAAAGCCGAGGAGTCGTTTTCGACCTGCACCCAGTTCCTTCATTCATCCCCAGCGACTGGCTCCCGTCGGCCACCGTACTGAACTGAGAGGAAGAGCGGCTGGAGGAGGAAACCCTGAGAGGACGGCGACGGCGCCCCGGTGCGCGTGCGCGGCCCCGCCCCTTCCTCCGGGCCGGGGTTCGTGGCCCGGCTCGGCCGCCACTGGATTAGAAGACGTGTTCTGGCCTCTTTCCCGAGTCCGACAGCTGTGTCCTTTGGACCGGCTCACTAGTCCCCTGGGAACGTCGGTGACTTCATCACAAGATGATCGTGGCGTTCCAATGTCGTGACGTATGGAGAAAGTGTTGACGTTATCCTCTGCTCCTGAGCTGAACCCCTACGTAGTCCAGTTGCATCTCTGTCTTTAGCTCTTTCCTGTGCCCACCTCGCATACAAGTCCTAGAATCTCAGGTGGTAGTAGAAGAATTTAGAACATAATCTGGTCCCAAGACTGCATCTTCCACCAGCACCGTCCTAAATCCACAATGTTCCTTTCAGCCTTGGGGTTCTGTTGAGACACTGTTGGCACTTCCAGAGCTAGAGCCCAGACCTTCTCCAAGGCCTGCAAAATAGCCAGTAGTCTGCATGTGAAGAACCACTAGCCTCTATAGTTCGTCATGCTGTTTTCTTGTTCCTAGTTGGATCCATGTGTATTTACCCAGGACTGTGCTAGGTGGAACTTGGCAGCATCCAGGGCCATCACAGATGAATAATCTCTTTTAAAATAAGCTCTGACATTTAACAAATATCCGCAAAGGAAGGAAAGGAGAAATATATATGTTGCAGTGTTTCCACCTGACCCAGTAAGACATTTCACATTGTGACCCAGAGGTCAGGTGCACATGTATTCACACAATTTATAGGTCAAATTGTAAATGTGTATGCTGTACAAACATATGTAACAAACCCAAGTTTACATGAAAATAAGACTTCAATATGGGATGCACAAACTCCATGCTGTGACATCTCTGCTCACCACATACAATGAGTTGCTGACTTACAACATTGTCTTTCTCAAATTAATAGTAAGGAATGACTTGTTTATTCAATATTTGTTAAGTCCCGGGATAGTACTTTCTATCTGTTACCTGTTTTAATCATTTAAGGGCAGTAATATTTTCCAATTCACAATTATGGAGATTGAGGCTGTGAGAGCCTAAGAACTTTAACTCTCTTCCTATGGACAGCCATTCTATAGGAAGACTGTTAAAGGAAATAAAAAATTGGTTTGGGGGTATGAGTGAGGGAGAATGAATGGGCATTAACAAAATGATTTTTAAAACCTTCCCAAAACAACAATACACAATAAGCATTCTCTCCATCTTGGCCTACAGGGAAAAGAAAAATAAAATTCAGCATAAATAAGGTAGCCAGATGTCACAGTGATGAGTACTGACACTCAGCTAGCTCTAAATCCCACCTTTCTCCTCTGGGAATTTCAGTAAATAGCCCCACCACTTGACGTTCCAGAAACCTGGAAGTCATCCTGGCTTCAGCCTCTGCTTCTCAAGTTACTTCAGCATTGAAAGTCTTTCAAATCATTGGGGGAAAAATGCTTGCCAATGAGATACTTCTGTTTATAGTTACAAAGAACACATATACTCCAGGTGCATAAGCAAGTAGCTGCATCAGAAGTGGGGCAGCTGGGTTCAACAAGCATCTATCCTGGCTGCAGCACTACAAGCAGCAGCTTAACACACTAGACCAAAATTCAGGCTTCCCAACAACTGCTAAATCAAACTTTTTTGTTGTTCCACCCTCCCCTAAACTAATCTTCAAACTTTTTTATTTAAACATTTTATTTGGGAGCTGGCGTGGTAATCTAGCACCTTAAGTCCTTGCCTTGCATGCACCAGGATCCCATGTGGGCACTGGTTCTAATCCCAGCTGCCCCACTTCCCATCCAGCTCCCTGCTTGGGTCCTGGGAAAGCAGTTGATGATGACCCAAAGCCTTGGGATCCTGCACCTGCGTGGGAGACCTGGAGGAAGTTCCTGTCTCCTGACTTTGGATTGGCGCAGCTCTGACAATTGCAGCCACTTGGAATGTGAATCAATGGATGGAATATCTTCCTTTCTCTCTGCTCTTCTCTGTATATCTGACTTTCCAGTAAAAATAAATCTTTTCAAAAAATTTTTATTTGTGAGGCAGAGAGAGGGGATAAAATCTTCTGCTCACTTCTGCCCTGAAAGTTCACCTATAGCTGGAACTGAACCAAGCTGATATCAGATGCCAGAACTCACGGACTGAAGGGCTTGAACAACTATGTGCTGCCATTCAGGGTGCACATAAGTAGGGAGCCATATCACAGCCACAGGAGCCAGGACTAGAGCCAAGAGCTTCAGTGTGGGTTGCCGCATTCAAAGTAGGTTGTGCCATCCCTACTGAATCAATATTTTTAAAAGATTCATTTATTTTGCTTGAATGTCAAAGTTACAGAGAGAGAAGAAAAGACAGAGAGAGATCTTCCATCTTCTGGTTCCCCCTCCCCCCCCCCCCCCCCGCCCCGCCAAGTGGCTGTAAAGCCCAGAACTGGGCCAGACCAAAGTCAAGAACCAGGAGCCAGTAGTTCTTCCAAGTCTTCTATATGCATGCAGGAGCCCAAGGCCTTGGACCATCCACCAAGGCTGCATCAGAAATGAAGCAACCAGGACTTGAATTGGTACCCAAATAGGATGCTAGCACTGTAGGTCAAAGACTAATTTGCTGTGCCACAGTGCTGGCTCCTACTCAATCAATTTTTAAAAATGGCTTGAAACCCTGAACCCTGCACAACAGCCTAGTGGCTGAATCCTAGCTTTGCATGCACTTGGGTTCCATGTGGGTCCTGGTTTGTGTCCTGCCTGCTCCACGTCCCTTCCAGCTTCTTGCTGGTGACCTTGGAAAGTAGTAGAGGATGGCAGAAAACCTTGGGGCCCTGCACCTGTGTGTGAGACCCAGAGGAGGTTCGGGGCTCCTGGTTTCTGATGGGCTGGCTCAGCTTTAGCCATTGCAGCCACTTGGGGATGAGTTAGCAGACGGAAGAACTTTTTCTTTTTCCTCTCTGTAAATCTGACTTTCCGATAAAAATAATAAACCTTAAAAAAAATTTTTTTTAAGTGCTGATGCTTTTCTATTTCTCTTCTCGAGTGACACATAACAATACAAATTAGCTTTAACATTTTTTAAAGGATTTATTTATTTTTATTGGAAATTCAGATATACAGAGTGGAAGAGAGATAGAGAGGAAGATCTGTCCATTGATTCACTCCCAAAGTGACCATAACAGCCAGTGCTGAGCAGATCCAAAGCCAGGAGCCAGGAGCCTCCTCCGAGTCTCCCACATTGGTGCAGGGTTCCAAGGCTTTGGGCCGTCCTTGACTGCTTTTTCCCTGGCCACAAGCAGGGAGCTGGATGGGAAGTGGAACTGCCAGGATTAGAACCGGTGCCCATATGGGATCCCAGCACATTCAAGGCAAGGACTTTAACCATTACACTATTGCGCTAGGCCCAAATTAGCTTTAACATTGAATAGATCACATATCACAGTTCTCAATGTACTATCTTACATAACTACCACTTTGTGGTTAAAAATGCTTGAGAAGCAGACAACAGGGAAAAACTAAGTCCATTACCATTTCTAATCACAGAAAGTTATATTTCACCAATTCTCTGATACTTTTTTCACATTTTGACATCTCAAAAGCTGGGATGTCTGAGAGATGTGTGTTAAACTTTCCTTGACAGCATTTTAAAAAATATTTATTTTATTACAAAGTCAGATATACAGAGAGGAGGACAGAGAGGAAGATCTTTTGTTCATTGATTCACTCCCCAAGTGACCGCAATGGCCAGTGCTGTGCCGATCCAAAGCCAGGATCCAGGAACTTCCTCCAGGTCTCCACATGGGTGCAGGGTCCCAAGGCTTTGGGCCATCTTCGACTGCTTTCCCAGGCCACAAAGCAGGGAGCTGGATGGGAAGTAGGGCTGTGGGACTAGAACTGGCGCCCATATGAGATTCCAGTGCATTCAAGGCAAGGACTTAAACCACTAGGCCACTGCGCTGGGCCTGACAGCATTTTTTTTTTTTAATGTGGCACATAAAATAATGATGTATTAATACTGGTGCCTTTGATTTGACAAAATGTTACATAGTTACTGTATTTTAAGTCCAAAAAGAACAGTCTGTCTTGCATAAGCTTTCTCCTATGACTGCATTCTTTTTGATTAGTTCTTTTCCACGTAGCCATTTTTCAATCAAAACAGATAAACAAAAAGGAATAAAAGAGTATCACATTAGAATATCTACTACTTTTTAAAGTCTGTTAACTTTATTGACACCAATCATGAATCAGCCCAACTACTAAAACACCTTCTGCTTCTGGGTGAAATTCCATTTGCTTATGGCACAACTCAAAACACAATTTTCATGTTTATTTTTAAAGATTTAATCCATCGATTTGAAAGGCAGTTACCGAGAGGGAGAGAGATTCTTCCATTGCTTCACTTTCCAAACAGCAGCAACGGCCAGGGTTGGGCCTGCACCAAGTCAGAAGCGTAGACCTTCATCCAGGTCTTCATGTAGTGCAGGACTCCAAGGACTTGGACCATCTGCTGCTGCCTTTCCACAGGTGGGTGAGAAGTGGAGCTGCTGGGACCTGAACTGGCACCTGCAAAGTATGCAACATAACAGGTGGCAGCTCTACCTACAACACCACAATGCTAGCTCCTTCAGCTGGAACTTTAAACCAGTTAAAACCAGTTTAAACTTTAAACTGCTCAGTTCTTAGATTTTTTTTTTTTTCATCATTGCTGGATTTTCTCCCCACAGTTCCTACTGTCCAGAATGCCTCTTTTTCGTATGTAATAAACCCCCTCTGTCTAGTATTACCTTAAGAAGCCTAC